TTTTTGCGCTCAGGGCTTGTGGATTTCACTTCAAGAACTGTACCTACACCCACATTCCTAATGTGCCTATTCCATTCCTCGGCTGAAGTCCAAGTGGACACAGCCCGTATCCGCTATGTGGGCTTGGTGATGCGACGTGTAGCTTTGGCGCTGCGGGAATAAATAATGCGTGGCAACGACCTGCCAATTCCAATTGGAGGTAGCGCGCCACCCACTCCCTCATCCATCTCACCAGGTGCTGGTAGGTGTTTGGGGTTTACACATGAGCAATGAGCAATGAGCAATGAGCAATGTTCCATGTCGTATTGCATCAAATTGATTGGACGAAAAACGTGCCAGTGGATGCGACACCCACAAATGGTGTCCGAGGTGTTCCAATTGTGGATGCTTAAATTCCATAATCTGTAGTACACTGGAAGAGATAAACTTTTCTGGTTGTCGTCCAATTTTGAAACATACTGATTTTGTTTGAGTCTCTGCAGAAACTTCAGGAGCGACATCGCTTTGGAAGTTCTGAGTTCCCCACTGATGTACGAAAGTGCCGAGCTGAGATGGAATCGTACCAGACTTGTCCAGGGGATCCGGACCACGTTCCGATCTTGGAGGTTCCAATACATTTTCACTGCGAAATCGTTTCGATGGCCGTTCTGAGGTTGTTACCCGATCAGTCAGAGCAGGTGTAACTGATGTCGCGATTTGTCCCGAAGAATTGGGAAAGGTCAAATGTAAGCCAGGTATCCAACCTGTTTGATTTCCTGCATGCGTCAAATTGGCAAATTGAGAGATAATCCCAAGCTGATGAGATTGATTTTGAGCTTGAAGTATTCCCAATTGGCATTGATGTTCCTGAACTTGTAGACTGTGCATCTGAATAGCCTGATCATTCTGAATAACACGTTGTGCCATGAGTGATGCCTCTCCGCGAGGTACTCTGAATTCAAACTCGCCAGTGAATCCCCGATAATGAAAACTGACATCTTCAGTGGTACGTCTGCTAGCTGGTGTGGCCCAAGTAGGAATTGGATCACGAGGTGGGGGACCCATGGACTTCGGAACTACGCCGGTCGGTATCATGGTAATGTTGATAATGTCCATATATGAAAACGAAGGCAAAAGAGAAAAAAGGAAAAACAATAAAATTGAAGCAGACAACAACCACCTGTAACATTGAAGGATGTTGGTTTAAAACAATGACATCTTGCAGCAACTGTCGCTTCAGAGCCAACATATTGGGTACATTGTTCATGACATTCAAAAGCAAACATATAAAGGTCACAAAAATGTCAAACAGCGAGAAAATTTTTAACAACTGAAAACGGAATTGTGAAAGAATCAGAACGTTTTTTGAACTGCAAACTGTGATTCTGTAAGGATCGGACCTGGGTAAGACAACAGGTGAGACCCCCCGAAGGGTTAATCCATCCCTATAGGGATTAATCCTGGTCCTTCGAAGGGACTAATCCGTCCATCGTTGGGACTAATCCGTTGAAGTATGACAAATTGTCATAATTCGCTCCTAAAGTGGAGTAATCCTGTGATTGACATAACAACCACGTCAAATCCGGATTGTCCCAATTGGACATTCCACTATCCACCGGAGCGGCCGGTGACCAGATCTAGACCCGCACGAAGCAGATCGACGGTGCTCACAAGTCAGTGAGTTCACCCAAACACACTGCTTAGGTTGATTTGATGATGATGAGAGTAGAACTTGCCGTCGCCTGATTTCCTAAGTCACCTTCGATGGGGCACGGTTGCAAACGGTGAAATTTGGGCAATCGATTCTTGCCAAAGGACTCAAAAACAAGGTAATAGAACAGCTTGTGCAAAAGTTCAAACCAACATTGCAGGTACGTCAACCCAGCGTCCCAGGTTGATATCACTGTCACATCAGAAGCGTCTTCGTTGGCTGGAGACTTCTGATTCACACTCCAGCCCCCTGCATGTCTGAATTAAAATTCAGTTCTTATTGTCGCCACATATTGTCTTCCTTGCTTCGTTGTACGAAATTGTAAAATATCCGTATGTTATAACGGGTTTCACACACATATATATAGATATGTGCGCGGTCGGGATGTTTAACATTGTTTAACTAATGTCAAGCTGACGTTTTAGAACAAACACTTCCTTCTTTCAATGGCCATTTCAGGTACCTAAACTGCAGATACTGTACCGGTAATTTAACACGGCGATTGAATATGGCCCCTTTACAGCTGATTTACCTATGATAACTGATAACGGTGGTTTTCCATGGCCATGTTAGTTTACGAGGCCGGGTAACCTGGGGGTCTATCCCCTTAGTCCTTGAAATCAATGGCCATTTCAGGAACCTCAATTGGAGGTACCTATTACATATAATATATATATATTATATTATATATATATTGTATTATATTATATATGTATGTAATGTATGTAAGGCCTAAGGGACTATCCCCACAGATGGCTGTCATTATGACAATTTTCTATGGTGCAGTAGCTCCGTTTTGGAGATGGAGCCAGGTCTGGCAGCTTGATGGATTGCTTGGTGCTCTCCGGAATCAGGCCGTTGTGCTCCAGTTGGGCCGGTGGTTTTTTGAAAAACGGCGTTATGTTTTTTTTTGGGCCAAGTTGGGAAAATCGAGGAACTGGAAACTGGTAGTCGGTTTTCTTAGATTCAACTGGAACAGGGTTTGAGGTTGCCAGAACTCAGGTGATGACCAATGTGGTCCAGTGTAACCTGTTTCAGGGATTTTCAGGGCTCCAAGAAGTGGGGTCTCGCCAAGAGAATTTTGGGGTGAGACGGATCAACGTTGAAGCCAGTACGGGCGCACAATTTGTGACCCGTACTCTCCAGTATTCATTCAGAGACACACTTGGGTCACAAACAACTACAGTATTTGGTAAGGACACTACCAGCAAGAAGATCCTGAAATGTCACAACATTGTCATCATGAAGTTACATGAAGTTGTTTTTCCCCTACTGAGCCATCTCACTGCTCGGCGCACTGCCTGTCCCCGACCATCCACGAGCTCAGCCAAGGTCAACCCTCAGTTGTCCTCTCTGCCCCGCAGCTGACGCAACTGCGGAGCGGATGCTGGAAGCAAGGGCAGCTTCGAAGGTGCCCAGCGGATGATGATAATGATGATGATGATAATGATGATGATGATGATGTTGGATGATGATGATGATGATGATGATGATGATGATGATGATGTTGGATGATGGTGCCAAGAAGGTGCCAGGAACAAGGGGAACTGTCCAAGGCCTGAAGGCCTTATGACCATGGGGAACTGAGCCCTTTGATTTAGGCCGTTTTTTTGACATGTCTTGGGTGGGGCTTTGACCTGGAAGCGTTTTTTTTTTTTAACTTCGCTGAATTTGTACTCTTTTGTAATCAATCTTGGCTGGATGGATCATCACATTTTGTGTGGATAAATGTGACTTGCAGTAAATGAATCTAAATGATCTACACATATATATATATATATTATAATACATATTATAATGTATATTTGATATTATATGATATGTAACATTATATAACACACACACACATATATATATATATATATATATATTACGACACTTAAGATCTTTTTCCAAGGCAGGTTAGATTACCAAGGGTAGAGGGTTTACCCCGTGTTGGATTGGACGTGGAAGTCACTTAAGTTATTTGGTATACAAGTGATTTGTAAATTGTTTTACGATACCAAGTGGCAGTGGGGGTGGAAACAACTGAAACAACATGAAACAACTTCATGTGAGTTTCGCTTTGAACAAGCACTGGGAATTCAAGGCCAACGGATTTTGTTTTCCCATGTGGCATTGCCAAGTGAAATGGAACAATGTGGTAAAACCAGTAATAAACCTACCATTTGGGGATGGTTTATATAGCACCGATACAAACGGTGATTTTGAGGATGGTTTATGAAATTGGGTTTACCACGTTACATAACTTGGAGATGGCGATGGAGAGAGAGAGAGAGAGAGAGAGACGTTACATAACTTTGTTATGTCCTCATGCAGTAAAATATCTCATATATGAACAGGAGAATGGCATGTCTCAATGTGACAGCATCCACTATCTCATGGCACATGCCACCCGCGGCATTTTTCTCATCCGAAAAGAACACAGCCCCTAGCCCTTTGGTCGCATGTAGGCCATTCCTGGTCAACCACTCCGGCGTCATGTCAATCTGTGCGATCCTCTGTGGAAGGACAATCAGAAATCAAGTCTGAAAATCCAATCACATGAATCCTCAGAAATGAGTCCTCCAGATGACCGGAAAAATCACATAAAACTCATATAAAACCTGAATCCTCCACAATCTGTCAGGTCAACAGTGTCGGAGATGCATGCAGCCCCCAGCAGTTTAGAGGAGATGCTATGGGAAACTATGGCATGGGACCGGGAAACCATGATGGGAACATATGAAAAAAAGAGGGAATTTTTTTATGTTAGCAAAGCAATACAAGTAGGCTCCACCATCTCCAAAGTGTCATGAAATTGCTGGGAATTCAACCATTAATCCAAAAATGGGTGGTTTATGACAGTGCTTTACTAACATTATTAAATATTCATATATAATCTCTTGTTAGATATATTGGATACCCTGAGAGGGGACCACAAGGTGATTCGTTTAATCAGATCCAATGCAGCATGGCAGGCTTCTGGACGTTTCAGTACCGGTTGAACAACGGTTGTGATGTTTGATGGTACCTGATATAACGATGCATCACGGAGAAGCAGTGTTCAAATCAGCGGCTCTCAACATATGTTCTTAGTCAAGCAATACTGTAGTAAACTATCCACCATTTTTCCATAAATGGATATACACACCATTAAAATTTCATGGTATATGTATCAACCATCAAAATATGGATGGTTTGATCTTTACCAACATTAACATCTACAGTAAACCAGGATGGAAAGCTCTCAAGAAAGGCCGCATCCATTGGCCCAGCATGCGTGCGCCTGCGGCGCCTTGGCGGAAGACGCGCTTCCTTTGGCGGCGCCATGCAGCGGGGCGATGGTGGCCTTTGGCCGTTTGTGGTGCTGCCACTGGGGCTATGGAGGGCTGGTGAACCAGCGAAATCGGGGATTTTTTGGAACCCGAAATTTGCGTTCATATGTTCCGAAAATTTCACCGGGGTGAAATTTCTATGTTATTTTTATTGACTATTATAATCACTAAGTCACTAATTATTAACGTGTTCAAATTGATGATACTTGATGCAAATCTTCCAGTATGGTGGTTGGGCACCAATCAGGTATGCTGCGCAAGAATTGTTTTTGGCATGGGCAGATGAGAAGGACCTCATGAGAATAGGGTTGAGTGACGGTTCAAAACCAATGTCATTTCACGGCATCACATCACACCCCTGCTTGAAACACATCATTGGATCACCGTGAGTGGTGCTTAATCTTTTATTTACATTGAACTGGTGTCAATTTGAAATGGAATAACGGGTCTGTTTACTTGGGAGTATAAGTTTGATCTGCCCTGATTGAAAGTACTATTGCCTTTTTGTTGCACAGACTTTGGGCTGTTTGATTATGGTAGATTTACATAGATTTGCTATATACGGCTGTTTGATTATACTAGATTTACATAGTAATAGAGTTGCTATATACTTCGAAGTTGACATAATGCTACAGGTACTGCCATCACAATCTTCATTTGCCTGTTGTAAATAACATGCCCAGCCACTGGAATTTAATGGATGATATTTCTTCAATGATGGGGGGGAAATGAGCGCCCCTGGGGCGACTCATTTGACGCAAAAGCATGCTGGAAAACCCATTATTATATGATTCCATCATGTACAAATCTTTCTTTCGAAGCTGCTGTCCACACAGTCTTGGGTGGCCAGATTGTAGATGTATACATATATGTATATAATATATAGCTCTCTCTCTCTCTCTCTCAATCGTGGGTGATTTTTGTCTGGTTTGTATCATTTGGGTTCCCTGCCGTGTTGGCCAATGTCCTATTGCTGCCTGCAGGTGAACATCTTTACTTGATGATTGTTCATTCTGACTTTTCTGACTTTGAATTCGCACTCCTGGTTTCCTTGACGAACATCATACCCCCAACAAGAATCCCCTCCAACAATGAGACCAACGATGAGACCCCAGTCCATTGACAGATCCACCACATTTCAGCAATGTGTTTTTTTTTGGCGGGTGGTGGTGCTTCTTCTTATGGGCGGGCCACCCAAATTGGCACGTTGGCACAGCTGACGCATCCGTATCTTCACCATCATTTACTTCCCTAAAATGTGCGGTTCTCAACCCCTACCCCTTATCAATACACCTTTGCAACCCTGGTTGTTTGGTGCGTTTTATTCATTGATGAAACTCAAGTTGCAGTTCGGATTTGGATGCTTTCAGTCTTGATTTTTTTTCGGGGAACTTCGTGAAAAACTCGTCAAGTCTCCAGGGACCTTTTGGGGACGACGACGATGACGCAACGTCACCAGGCCAGCTGCTGGGGCCTCCCTCCCTGGCACAGCGGACTGGGCTCCCAGGGCTCGGGCTCAGACCCTTGGGGGCAGCGTCGTCGCGTGGCGGCGAGGGCAGAGGCGGGGGCGAACTGACTCCAGGGGCCTGGAGGGGTCCCAGGGGGTTGGAGGGAACTAAGGAGTGATGAGCTATTGCTAATTATTGCTATCTATATTCTCTATGAATCCCTATGGAAAAGCCAATTGGAGCCAGGAATTGACTTTCATTCGATGGGGATTTTTGGTCAAAACATGGTTTCTTGCTGATGTTTTATATTTTTTTCATGGTTGATCATATCCCCCGATGGTGCAACCCTCCGGAAAAAATGAGTCATCGAAGTCGGAGGCTTCGGGCTGCGAAGCTGACTTGCAAAGTGATCCGGAGGTCGGGGTGTCCCAGCCATGCCCAGCAATGCAGTTCTCTCTTGCAGTTCAAACTGCATCGTGGATGCAAACATTGAGTATATTGTATGATTTGTATGTATATGTAATACAAGCCATCTCCAATATGTGGTTTATGGTTTGTGAATTTCAATTCTCCTACCCGGACTTGGGATGGTGCCCATGGACTTGGGGCATCCCATAAGTGGGGGAGAGATGGTAAGAGCCAAATGAAATGTGCCAGTTACAGTATGTAAGAGATGTCCATGAATTCCCCCAATGTTTTGTATGGATCTCACATGAATTACAAATCACTAATCAGCTGGGCTGCATCCAGGAAATCCTGAATCAATTGGAAGAGAGCGGTCTCTTCAGAGGCGATGATGCTTGGCCTTTCATGGCATAAGCTACAGGAGAGTGAGTTGAGTTTAGCCAACTTCATGGCTAACTCTTCGTCAAATTCTAGCCATTTCTAAGGGTCATGGAGGAGATTTCTTGTCCTTAAAAGGTCATGTGGTCTCTCGCTGTGTCGTCATTAGGCCAGGGAGCTGGGTGTGCTAACAGGTCCTAACGTGGGTGGGCGCCCAGGAGCAATTGCTTGCACAGCTGCGGCTGTTAGCGGCGGAGGGATCCTTGGACTTTGGCAACAAGTTGCGTGCCCACAGTTTGACAGGCTGTTCCCAGGCACTTGAACAATCAGGATAGAAGGAATAAAGACCCAGGAAACACTGTCGATCACTGTAGTATGCGTTTTGTAGCATGATTGGTTATTAGTATGAACTCTCCAAGTTTCGAGGATGTGTGCCCAATGAACTGATCCATAGCCATGTTTCTTCAGAGGTGTGAAGCAGCAGAACAACCTGGGAACGGTTGGCATAGGTACAGGCATGCACCGGCTATTTGTCATGGATTCTGTCAAAGATGGGTTTGATTTACACCTTACTTTGCTTAGATTCCAATATATATATATACACTCCAATTCCTTTGTGATGAATCAGTTTGCCCTCATTTTTTCATAATTTGTTCATTTCTTCACGATTATCCCATATTTGTCCAAATTCTTTAGCTCAATTCTGTGGACCAGCAGGTCATGCCGCGGAACTGGAACACCGATTCAACCAATCGTTCCTTGTCGGTTCAATGGCACTCAGTTGATGCGCTCGCAAGGAGTGCATCCATTGGATGCTCTACGAGGCGTTCAACAAGAGGATCCACGGGATCCCATGCTGCAGTCCTTTGATGTTGCAGGCGGGTCCCTTTTGAGACCAGAGGGAGACATCGACTAATACTTGAGGGTTTCAATAGTGGGTTCAAATATGTGGTGATGTGGGGAACATTTTTTGACTCTAGTGACTATAGTGTTTGATCAACAAAGTTAGCCAACCTGCTGTAAATTCGCTATCAGCGGATCAGATCTCAAATCCCAGCATCCATAAGCCACGCTTCAGCACGGGTGCCGCAGGGATCGCAAGATACATCCAAGACCAGCAATGTCAGAACATCGTGGTGCTTTGTGGGGCTGGTATCTCAACCTCTGCTGGGTTTCTGTGGCCGCAAAGATGTGGAGAGCTGATCCTGGCCTGGCCTTTCTTCAGCTTCCATGGTGGATGGTAGGGACCTCCCCTGATCTGAACGCTGCTCCAAGGATTCCGGACTTTCGGACACCTGGAAGTGGACTTTATGAGACTCGGCGAGGTCAAGGGCGAAAAACCAACGAATTGCTGGTTTTTTTTTTCCCGGAAAAAGTTTGGGAGATGGACTGATTGATGGGTCATTTTCGGAAATGTTGATGTAATATCGGTAATATGATGTAATATGATGTAATGATGTAGGAATATTGAATGTGCTGCACATCTGGCCCAAGATTTAAACGTAATCCATCCAAGCTTTGTCACGCGGTGATCCCACAGTCACAGGTCTGAACTGGGCAGTCTCAACAGATCAAATTCCTAGCCCCTCCACCTGTCATCGTGCTCCGCCTTGAGCCCCAGAGCTTAGGACGAGGCAAATGTCAGACTGACCCCATGCACCTCAAATTCTTAATCACTTTTAGTGCTAGAGAGCACTCTTGAGCTGCTATAATTCAACTCATCCAAGTTATTTATACCAAATTTTGACGCGTACCCAGCTGGTAGATCTGGTAGCTTGCGCGCACTTCCTGCCGTACAGCGAGCGATAGCGAACGCCTCCAAGGACAACTTGCAGCGGTTCAACCTCACGGAGCCTGAAAGCATTTTTAACCTCGATTTCTTTCAGAAAGAGCCAGGCCCAGTATGTGACTGTGACCTGTCAATACCTGTCATGTCCATCGAGGCTGACTGAGCTTAGACTGAGCTGCTGCCTGGTTTCCAGCTTTTTCGATCCGGTCGATCCGCTACAAGAGGTCCATTCTACGAGCTGTGCCGCGACTTGTGGCCGGGCCACTATGAACCCACCATCGGTCACCACTTCATACGCTTGCAGCCTGGCATGACGGCAGCTGTCGTGTCATCCAGGGCCTAACGGTTAGTGAGTCCTCCTCTTCTGGTTGGCTGTAATCAATTTTCCAGCACTTTGGATCGTTTTGGTTTGGATCCTTAAGTTTTTTGCTGGTTAAACATTGGTTAAACCATCCAATTTCTTGAGGGTGGTTCAAGCCATCCTCACATGGGTCCAGGTTGGAAACGAAGGCAAGGAGCTGCCAGTGGTTGGGAAGTGTTGGGATAGTTGCAACGATTTGCAACGTGGTCCATGGTAGTGTTGCTTTACATAGTTTGCCGTCTTAACTTTACAATTAAAGTATGTAGGCTGTACATTCTGTATATAGTATGTGTGTACCTTCGTTCATTCCTTTGTTTCAAATAGCATTCACTTGTTTAACTCAACGTGCTCTTCTAATTGTTTCTACTTTTAGGATATGGCCAGATGTAGATCGTGTAATCTGCAGCATTTTCAGGCCAGCGGCCTCCAATGATGCTTGTTGATGTCTGGGTTGGTGATCCTGGTAGCTGTCCCTCTTTTGTTTATAACCTGATGAAGATGAATGGAGATGACACTGGTGCCAGGGGCTTCTTCGAAGGTGCTACACACAGACTCTTTGCCACATTTGGTGCCACATTCGGGCATAAATTGGGCATAAATTGGGCACTGGCACATTCGGAGACTCAGCAGATCATCGCCGACTGAAAATGACTGAAAGCACATGAAAGCACCATATTTTGCGAAACATCTGGCAAAATCTAACCCATAGGATCCATATATCCTATATATGGTAACATTATGTAACATTTACCATCAATATACCCCCAATGTTAGCATCTATACTATACATGGATCCTATGGGTAAAAGATATGATAGAATCAACTGGAACTCTGTTGGACATCTGAAAATCAACGACGCATTTGTTCATCCGCATTCCGAGGAATATTGCATCATGGCTGCAAGTGGTCCACTGGGAACACGCAAGCGGTCCACCTCTCCAGCACACTGATGATTTCCTGTCGTGACTAGTATATGATAGTGTACATTACCCTCTGGTAAAGTGGACATTACCCTCTGGTAAATTAACATAGACCCTGAAAATGACCAATTTATAGTGGAAACTAGTCTTCCAACCCCTATCTGCCAGGGTCTATGTTAATATACCAGAGGGTAATACGTAATATGATGTAATATGATTGTTATCAATGTTACAGAATCAGATCGTTATCATTTCTATTGCCATCATCATTCTGATGATAATGATTATCATGATCATAGTGGTGATGATGATGATCTCATAGAATAGGATGATAGGAACATTTACAGGAACCCCATCAAATTTGATGGTAAAAAGTAAAAACCATGGTTTCCTGTAGATTTTCCCTCAAACCAATCCATTGAAGATGATGATGGTGCTGCTATGCCCAGCCATGCTCCCAGGATTCCTTAGAGCGTCAAGCAGGCGTGAGCCCAGAGAAGCTCGGAGATGTAGTCGCGACTGCACCATTTTTGACTACTGTGATTCCATATCGCATCCCATATCCCACCAAAATGTGGCAACTGTGGGGTCTAGTTTATACTGATAGTGCATTCTTTGTGAAACAACTAGGACGTTCGCAATAAAATTGCATTGTTCTGTTCTTCTTGTTTCATTTTCCCATTTTTTCAGGTAAGGTGGACTAGGCAATTCTTGTTGAAATGCTACAAAGTCGAGTTTGACATGCTTTGTTTTTGTTTTTTGAGGACTTTCCGTGGCCAACATTCACACCCATGTGCCTTTTTGCTGCTGGTGTTCGAAGCATTGTTGAGCACTATAAACTCATACCAGCTCCATGTATCTCGATGATTTAGCATGTTCCAAGTGCGCACATTTTTTACTGTAAGTACACGCCTTAATTCGTTTTGGCATATACCATCTGGTTATTTAACATAGCCATGGAAAATGCCCCATTTATAGATGGTTTACCTATTAAACATGGTGATTTTCCATGGCTATATTAAATAACCAGATGGTATTTGCCGGGCTTACACCTATACCGCAGATTTTCTTCAGTATCTCGAGGTCCCATTGGTATCATATCCCTTTCTGGACGCAAGAAATGATGCCCCAGGAAGATCGTGGCGGCCCACGGCAACATGGACGAAGCTCACGTAGTTGGCACCCAACGCTTCGTGGAGGTCGACGAGTTGAGGCCCGTTGGCGACAGGGATACCTGTGGGATATGTGGGATACCATCAATTGAACATCAAGGGCTTGGAGAACCTGAACAAGGGATTTGGATGGGTAAGTTCCAGTTCCGGGTTTGGTGATTTGTTTTCGAAGATGTTTTTGGAGGACCGAGGGTTGACAATCCGAGAGAGTCACAGATCAAGTGGCTCCACCAGATGAAAGTCACCTGAGGATAGCCGAGGTCAGGCCACAGCACAGAACAGCTTGGGGTCATTCTGAAAAGCACTCGGTTCCTAGGTTTGAAACCAATTCAAAGACCAGATTTTGGTCCATCCTGTTGATATCATTATCTTGGGATGCATCCTGATTCCCATCGGATCCAATCGGAAGCAGAGAAAAAAAACAACCGCTTGTGGTTACGCCCCTATTTTTAGTATAGGATTTTACTTTTCTTTTTTTGGGGGTGCTATAGTTCCTATGTGTTGTTTAGGTGCCTAAAGATCACTTGTCAGGCAAGCCATCTTTGCTGGCGAAAAAGGCTGGAGAGCGCTTGCAGCTACTCACGGAGGGCTAGTGAAGCTCGAAAACATTGGGGGTACGGGGAAAATCATTGGAAAACCATAGGAATTTACAAGATGTATATTTACCAGAAATGGATAGAAATGGTTGGTAAATGATGGTAATTAGTCATTACCAATGTGTATATGGAAAAATGATGGGAAGGTGAAGAAAAATCACCAGTTAAATCGTTTAAGTGCCATTCTATTTTTTGATCCGTTTATTGGAGGTTTATGGTATTGGGTTGAGTCCTGAGGACGGCCTTTTTTCATGTTGAAGGCCCCAAGCTCTTCCCTTCCCGGGCCCCGGGCTGGGATGATGTGGGATGGTGTTGCCCAAGTCGATGTGTTCACCAAGGGGCCGATATCTGACAATGCTGACAGATGCTGACAGATACAGCACCCGACAGAATTATGGAAAAAAAAAACGTTTCAATTTACAGGCGCCGCCAGTCTATGATAGAAAAGTTACGAACCTTTTTTTTTCCATAATTATTTTTTTTTCCATAATTCTGTCGGTGACTGTATGTCCATCGATTCGCAATTTGAATGCATTTTAAGGGGGAATATTGAATTATAGAAAATATGTGTCTAAAGATCTGGTATATGCCCCTAAGTCTTCCATTGATATACAATTGCACCACCAAAACTCATTGTTGTACGTACATACATATGCGGGATGTATCCTTTTGCCAAGCCACCAATTGGGTTGATACTACATACTTGCATTTGCATACATATTTCCATAACCCCCAAAAAAAGGGGTTTGAATTGTGGATCCATGACATGTCCAACAGGTGGAGCCCCAAACATTAATTATGGAAAAAATAATTATGGAAAAACCGGTCAATCTGCCCTAGCCCCCTGATTTTACAGGAAAAATCAATTATGGAAATAATGGCCACCTCCAAGAATTAATCAAAAAAAAAAAGGTTCGGATCACTTCCGGGATATTTTGAACCCTTATGGGGAAAAACCCAATTATGGAAAAATCGGACGCAGGCGCCGCCTGTCTAAGTTGAACGTTTTTTTTTCTCCATAATTCTGTCGGTTACCATATACCCTCTGGATCCCTCTGGTTATTTAACATAGCCATGGAAAATCACCATTTTTAATAGGTAAACCCAGGTAAACCATCTATAAATAGGCCATCTATACCATGGCTATGTTAAATAACCAGAGGGTATATATATATATATATAATGATATATACCTATGCTGTAGCTGCGCAGTGCGCACTGCTGATGTGTTCACCAAGGAAGCCTAGCGTGGTGATGTTCGGCGAAGATTTGCCGGATCGTTTCTGGGATCTGCAGGAGGACGACCTGCGAAAATGCGTCGCTGGGCGATGTGCCTGGGAGCCTTTCAAGATGGAGAGCCCATATTTAATCATGGTTAATAATGGTTAATCATGGTTAATAATGGTTAATAATGGTTAGTAATCATGGTTAATAATGGTTAATAATGGTTAGTAATCATGGTTAATCATGTAATAATGGTTACCCTCTGGTAAATTGACAGTCTGACCCTGAAAATCACAAATTTTTAGAGGTTTCACTAATCTTCCAACCCCGATGACTGCCAGGGTCTATGTTAATTTACTGGAGGGTATAATATTGAAATGTTCCAGCGGTGTTTCACCTGCAGATTCACCTGCAGATCATCAAAAATCTTCAAGCATGAACCCTTTGTCACCATAGATATGCAAGATGAGACTATGATAAGACTGTGATGAGACTCAACTTGACTCCTGAGCTGCCCATGGCATTGAGGATTTGATGATCGTCATAGGCACGTCGCTGGTGGTGGAACCCTTCGCAAGTTTGGTGGGCAAAGCCTCTCCCACTGCCCCGCGACTCCTGATCAACAGGCGCCCCGGAACAAAAGCTGAGGTGATGGTGGATAGCATGTCAATATATTGGGGGTTCTTACGTCATGGCAGATCCCCCAAAAAACATTGTTGTTTCAACACTAAAATGGTCCAATCTTGGAAGATATTGGGGGTACGGGGTACCACCATTTCAAGAAACCTTCAAATAAATAAATCAAACAATAGAGAGAGAGAGAGAGAAGAGAGAGAGAGAGAGAGAGAGAGAGAAGAGAGAGAAAGAGAGAGAAGGATATATATATATATATACATGGATGAAATACAGTATAGTGACACGTCGTTTCGTCACTGTCGTCACTGGAATGATGATTAAGGGGACACGTCCCCAAATGGCCGCATGACAACAGCTATTCTCAGGTTGGCGAGTTGTTGTATTTCAGCCGTGATATATATATATATATATAACTGCATATTACACACATACATACGCGCACACACACATATATATATATATATATATGTATATAATTATTTATAGAAATATGCACCCTCATGCAGCTTTACATAATGTATCATCAGATTTTCAGATGTGTTTTGCAACTCATCACCCTGAAGATGTTCTGGATTTTTTCACGCTGCCGACCAACAAGACGGGATTTTCCAAGAATCCCATTGGGCAAGCTTGTCATGCAGATCGTTGGTTAGAACCTCGACCTACAAATCGTGCAGGTCTATATCACCAGTTGTCAGTTGTCCTTGTCAAAAGCACCGGCCACTAACCAGGGAGCCTTCTGGCACTTGTGACAAGTTGCTCTTTGGCTTCCGCTTTCAGACTCTTGGATGCAGATGGTCAGGGAACGGTCGGTTGGAACTGTGGCGAACATGAAGCCCTCTGAAGTCTCAGGGACAAGGGCTTCCATTCAAAGTGTACTTAACATTTGCAGATGAAAATGGTGCAAATTTACTAGCAAACAGATGGATACAACCACCGGACAAGATCAAGCATGTTTTTTTTTTTAATGTTGTATCAAGCTGCCTGACCTGTTTTGGGTTACGCCATGGGGTCCCCCTAAGTTCATCCAATGGTATGAGTTCCCATGCAACACTACACCAGAACTACTATATCATCTATATCTGGTTGGTGGTTTGGAACATGAAGTTTATGACTTTCCATATAATTATCGGGAATTTAATCATCCCATCTGACCAATATATTTTTTCAGAGGGGTTGAAACCACCAAGTAGATAGAATTACTTTCCACACATGTTGTGTACCACTGACAGAACTAGTATATAGCCGGGAGGTTTACTTCAGGACAGTTGTAATTTTGACTCTGCTCGCTCTTCTTAAACTTTTAGGTGGCTGATCGAAATTTGTGTAAATAGAAGCCGGTTACTGACAGCGCAGCCAGTGCAAGCCCACTTTCCGCCCTGCCAAGTCTTCCTCAACTTGCGAATTGGCGGGACGTGTGGTTCGAAGGTCCGGATGCTGCTGAAAAGAATTTGCCAGGGCCAGAAGGAAGAGCCATGTCAAACACGTAGGTCAAACACATACATGGCTTGGTAAATGTCCCTTTTTGGGGATTTTGGACACCTTCAAATATTTCTTGCAGATTATATCCCCTTTCTTTTTGGGTGATGTTTAATTTGGACATAAAAACCCCTGACATAGGACCCTTATCTCGAGTGCTGCCGGTCTCTGGAGGTTGCCCCATAGACCAAAAACCATACCAAAACCAGATCAAAATCATGTTATAAATCCAAAAAAAACACTGGTTCCTAGGTCCTATGTGATGTCTCTGGTTTTTTGTTGATGTGTTGTTCCGCTTGCCAAACTTGTTTTTGTATATCCATCAACTGCGGAGGCAGCTGCGACGATGGATGTGTCACCTTAGCTACGGCCTTGGGCTGGGAGAAGGAGCTGCGAAAGCTACAGGCAACCGAAGGGGGTTGGATCGTGGCTGGGACCTGAGGAGTTTGTTCGGCTGGGGCTACAGTGGGGGCTAAGAGTTCACCTAGACAGCCAGTCACTGGGAAAAGTTTGCCAAAATTAGAGAGTTTTCTCAGCAAGTGAAACCAGCATTGGTTGGTGATACTGTTTGCCTTGATCAACGGATGATGGGTACACCAACTGATGAAGTTTTTGCGCTAGGTCTGAGGTGATCTTGGGGATGCAGGGAACCTGGATTTCTCAGTGATTCATGGAGAATGCTGAAGATGGGTTTTAGGGATAATGATGATGATGATGATGATGATGATGATGGTAGTGGTTTATTACCCTCTAGTAATTTAACATAGCTATAGAAAATCACCATTTTTAATGGGAAAATCCATGAAAATCTATGACCATTTTCAATAGCTACGTTAAATTACCAGAGGGTAATGTTTATCAATGTGTATCAATGGTTAATGATGAGGAGGCATCCAACGGGATGATGTGGATGCGGAGTACCAGACCCTTGCAGGCGCAGAGTGGAGCGAATCCCCTGGATCCGAAGCCAAGCTGATCGTTCCTGATGGCTGAAACAGCTGAGCGGTTAGCCTCTGGTAATGACTAACATAGCTATTGAAAATGGCCATTTATAGTGGATTTTCCCATTAAGAATGGTGATTTTCCATAGTTATGTTAGTTTACCAGAGGGTAGCAGTGGTGACCTGACGTGATAGCCGGCCTGGTACACATAGAAAAAGCGACATGGAAAATCATGGAAAGCCATGGCCATAGATTTATAGTTGATGACTACCCAGCTAGAAAATTTGGTGATTTTCCAGTTCGTTATGTGGTCACGTTTGCCAGGCCGGGTAAACCATTGGATTTTAAAGAAGCCTATTTTCAGACAAACCCGATGTGGCTGGAACGGGTTTCCATGATTCTGGGCCAAAGTGCCTGCTTGCTTTCAGCGGAGGAAACGTGCCCGGAGTCATAGATGCTCATTTTCAGGTGATGTCAGTTGCTGTTGCTAGGATACTTTTTTTTGATACAGGCTTCTTGTAGATCAACGTTCAGAAAATTTCGCTGTGTCAACATTGAAGGCGTTTGACACCTTCTGCTTAATGTGAACGGGGGCGACTGAACGCATACATCCAGCATCCAGATATATCCAGATATATCCAGATGAAATACAGCTGAATGTACTGAATGACTCAATAATTATCTAATGGTATCTGTATAGAAAGTAGATGAAAGTAGCACTGCATCAGAATTGCGTCATTCCCATCATCCTTCAACATCTTCAGCTCCTAGGAGACGTACCCTGAGACCTTCAAGTGGATTGCCAAGCGCAACGAAGCGCGTACCCTGAGTCCCCAGGGTGATGCCCAGATGCCACAGGCAAACTGAGAAAATCGGAGACACTCCGTTCCCCAAAAAATGGCAATGCCCCGCGATAACTTGGCCCTGGTGAAGGGTGAAGTTCAGTATTGGACATTTTGGTGGCCCATGTGGGCATATTATGCATATGATATGTATATACTGTATATATATATATATTTATTTATTCTTGGTGGAAGGTGTTGCTGGTAATTTTTAAAATCCAAGATAACATTTTCTTGAACACATCATTTCTCAGGAATCCCCGTGGAATCAAGGGAGCTGAAGCTGTCATCACTGTCATCCATAGTTTTTTATCACATGCGGTGGAATGTCGTGATGCGGGAAAACCGCGCACGATGTGCCAATGTACAGGCTACTGATGAAGTAGGTGTTTCCAAAACTGAAAATCACTAGAAGCCTGCTTAAAAATACCCAAAGCCAACCTAAATTTTGGGCTCCAAAATTTTGGACACATCGACCATTCAGGATGCACAGGTTTTAGTGGAGGGCGGAAGCACCTGCAATTTCTGAAGGCATTTCCTGGCTTTTTTATCGCATCCCTGCCTGGATTTTCAGTTGATCAAACATGCTTTGCTGAAAAATCCCTGATATTTATAGTGGTTGGTGGTTTGGAACATTTTTTATTTTCCATAATATATGGGATAATCCTTCCCATTGACTATTTTTCAGAGGGGTTGAAGCCACCAACCAGTATAGATGATTTCCCCATGATTTCCGCTCCATGTTTCATGAGGAAAGCTCCATGAAACAATGAGGATTTTCCAGCCTCAGTTGGAATGGCAGGAATGGGACAAAACCCAGCGTGCGTTGGTGAGATTTCAGCCTGGAAAGAACATGTCGATTTTTGCAGCTGGATTTTGATGTAATGTACCTTTGTATATACCGGTTGTATTTGTGATGATTCATGGGGGTTTCATCGACTAGAAGTTAAAATGGGGATGTTCCCTTTCATACACACCCAACTGTATCCAATGTGGGTTTCAAATATGCTGGTGGTTTTTCACTATGTGTTAAATGATTCATCATATGAAATCATGATGTCCCCAGCGGCTATTGCATATTTTTCAGATGACTTAAACCACCAACCAGGTTATTGATCCTGGGGATTGTTTATGGGAAAGTCTCTGGGAAAGTCTCTGGGGATTGGTTTGTTTCTCTCTACGTTTTCTGGGCCTGCATGGCTTCCACCGTTTGAACATCCGATAGCTGATGGGGTCAAGTTGCCAGAGACAAACCTAGCAATGAACTATTCCCCAATGGTGATTTATTGCGTTAATCCCGGGTTGATTTTTAATAGAACCCCGGATGACCCGGATGGGTACTGGGATGGTTTATTGTTGGATATTGTTGGGTTTATCGCATTATATATATATATATCATATATCTCATCTAATCATATGCATAATTCGACACAGTAATCATCAGTAATCACTTTCATATGCATATGTTCATTAATAAAAATCCGCAGGCTTGTTCTTAGAGGCTCAAAGCTTCAGCGAAATGGCGCTGGAGGATGTCTTAGAGTATCGCTTTGGCAAAGGTGTCATAGGCCAGGATAGCCCGTCTGGCTATAGCACGGGACCTTTACAGATCCTGGACGGTTCCTATACCATTTGAATACATTTCCTACGTTTCCCTGCCACAATGATTCATTGATGGCTGCAAGGTAGACAATGATCGACATGGAACTCCATGGGTTTGCCCAGAAGAAGAGATCTATATATAGAATCTAAATGGTTGACGCAGTTGGATTGTCCTTAAAGACTGAGATATGCATTTATGATCATTTACGTGCAATGATGCACATAAGATTGTACCTATATTTCATAAGCTGCTTGGTTGGGTCTCAACTCTTAGCTTTTGCTTGATCGCTGGACATACCAAATTTTGAAATATCCTCTGCCAATTCTTGAGTTAGCTTCCCGGGTCAAGTGAATGCAGTCTGACTTTCATGTCATCATTTGGTTTTAAATTTGGAGAATTTTTGGACCATTTGGGGCCATATACATCTACCATCCAAGCCTGGTACGCAGCCTGACACTTCGCATCTCCCTTGGGGACTATCCCTGCCAGGCAAATGGGCTTCGGGCTGGTTCTGTTTGCAGAATGGGCAACTGGAGCAATATTCCATGGACGAGCATGGGCAGAAGCAAGACGCATCCTGGCAGTCCGTGAAAAGAACCGATGATTGGATGATATTGGATGTGGCTATGGACTGTAGAAAATGTCAACCCATGGTAACCATTAATTAGGGGTGGTATTCCCAGTATTCCCCCCATAGTATTCCCAAGTCATGATGAATGATACTTTTTTATGGTAGCGTCCCACTGAAATAGCCGTTTGGGGTTTATTATTCATCCAGGGTTGACATTGTTGACATATGTCCATCACATCGACCACAGTTCCAAGCTTGAACGCTGAACTTACCCTCTGGTTATTTAACATAGCCATGGTATAGATGGCCCATGTATAGATGATTTTCCCATTAAAACCTCCATTTATAAGGGTTTTTCATGGCTATGTTAGTCATAACCAGATGGTAAAGTTGATATTTGGGCATCCACCGAAACCGTTTTCGCATAGGTTTTTGACCAATGGTAGGGTCCCTGGGCAAGATTTTGTTGATCAACTCCCTGGATTTGTTCAAAAAACCGCACCCATGATATTTCTGAAGCTCACCATGGTTTTCTCTTGAAAAACCCATGGTTTTCCCATGGGAAAACCAAGTCAAAAAATGTCAGGTCTTGAAGGTCTTTGACCTCTCAGATTCCAATGAGTTTGAGTTCGATGCAGAGACGTTTTCCAAGATCTCCTTGCAGTGTGGCAATGAGCGGGTCAGGCTGCGAGGGCAACCGGAGCAGATGCGCCGTTGGTGCCTTGGTCAAAACAAAGAGCCTGTGCAAAAATGGCTGGATTCATGGGTTGGATGTTGCGGGCAACTTAACACGTCATATATATATATATATATCTATATAATTATATAATATATAATATATATATATAATACGATAGAATATATCACTGATAGATTAGTTGTGTTTTTATTTACATTTACTCATTATGTACATATGATTTACATATTAGATATAATTACATTGGATATACATTAGATATACATTAAATATATTCGCTATGTATATATATATATTACATACAATATATATATATAAATAAGGTAGACTATATGCACATGTATATGCATATTAAACAGGATTTATATATGGATACATAGTACATATTGTGACAGTAGCTATATAGTTGGTTTATTTTTATACTGGTATATATACTGTATATATACATATGGTATATACATTGTATATACTAGATCGTGTTTGAATGGAAGGAGAAGCATACTTTATTATAAATAGATCGGTTATTATTTATGATATATAGTATATGTGACTATATTTGTATATTATACATTATTGGTTTTATTAAATTGCATTTGTATAAATATATATATATATTGCCCCTCCAGCTGCGTAATGGCATGTCGCCGCTGCCCACAATGCACTGAAGTCTATATCTTAATTCTTATATAATCTATAATAACAATAATATATGTATACATATATGTATATATCTGGCTGGTGGTTTGGAACATTGTTTATTTTCCATTTCATATATGGGATGTCATCCTTCCCATTGACGAACTCATATTTTTCAGAGGGGTAGGTCAACCACCAACCAGATATAGAGGTTAATACCACTTAATAGATATAGAGGTTAATACCACTTAATAGATATAGAGGTTAATACCACTTAATAGATATAGAGGTTAATACCACTTAATAGATATAGAGGTTAATACCACTTAATAGATATAGAGGTTAATACCACTTAATAGATATAGAGGTTAATACCACTTAATAGATATAGAGGTTAATACCACTTAATAGATATAGAGGTTAATACCACTTAATAGATATAGAGGTTAATACCACTTGATAGATATAGAAGTTAATACCACTTAATAGATATAGAAGTTAATACCACTTAATAGATATAGAGGTTAATACCACTCAATAGATATAGAGGTTAATACCACTTAATAGATATAGATGTTAATACCACTTAATAGATATAGAGGTTAATACCACTTAATAGATATAGAGGTTAATACCACTTAATAGATATAGAGGTTAATACCACTTAATAGATATAAAGGTTAATACCACTTAATAGATATAGAGGTTAATACCACTTAATAGATATAGAGGTTAATACCACTTAATAGATATAGAGGTTAATACCACTTAATAGATATAGAGGTTAAAACCACTTAATAGATATAGAGGTTAATACCACTTAATAGATATAGAGGTTAATACCACTTAATAGATATAGAGGTTAATACCACTTAATAGATATAGAGTTAATACCACTTAATAGATATAGAAGTTAATACCACTTAATAGATATAGAAGTTAATACCACTTAATAGATATAGAAGTTAATACCACTTAATAGATATAGAGGTTAATACCACTTAATAGATATAGAAGTTAATACCACTTAATAGATATAGAGGTTAATACCACTTAATAGATATAGAGGTTAATACCACTTAATAGATATAGAAGTTAATACCACTTAATAGATATAGAAGTTAATACCACTTAATAGATATAGAAGTTAATACCACTTAATAACCATAATATATGTATACACCAGTCCCATTTCTCTCATAAATCGGGCTGTACGACCCGGTCGCCACAAAAAATGGTCAAACTCAGTTAGACCTCGTGATCCGAGTGATGCTTCTCCAAGTGGCATGCAGATCATGCAGCAAAGCCTACACTTATACAGGTACATGATTGTACATGTGCCAAATATGTATAATATATATATATATACTATTGTTATTGTTATTATTATTAATTATTAGACATACTATTATCATATTATTATTATGAATGTTGATGATGGTATAGGTGCCATACAACACACACACAGATATATATATATATGTGTGTTTTTGTGCGACAGATATGTACCCAATATATGCGAGCTCAATGAGTTCCCATACGTTGAGTTCAGTGGTCCAAGGTATGAGAGGATGCGAGCGTTGGTGCCTAAGGACCGCCTAGCTGAAAAAATGCTGACTTAACATCAAGCAATGGGATTTCATAGGATTTAATGGACTTTAGTAGTGATTTCATAGGATTTAATGGACTTTAGTGGGATTTAATTTTGGATTTAATGGGATTTAATCATGCTTTTAGTGAGGTTCAATTGGGATTTTAGTGGGATTTAATTGGGGTTTAATTATGATTTTCCCTGTTGTAATTTAACAGATTCCTATGGAAGCCATGGCCCATTTAGTTCAATAATTTATAGATGATTTACCTACCTGTTTTAAATGTTGATTTCCCATCGCTACGTTAAATTACCAGAGGGTAACCATGGTGAGTGAAAACTCTGGTTCCTGGGACCAGTAGGGTAGGATGGGTAGGCTGGCTCACTCTGGTGAGACGAACCAGTTGCCTAGTTCCCTATTCCAATCTTACTCCGCGATGGACAATTCCAAGCTATGAATGCCTTCCCCGTTCAAGAGTCAGCATTTTCCATTGCCGTGTTTGCTTCACTGGGGACACAAATTGTCCTCATGTTTGTTGTTTCAACCCTCTTACACCCCAGGTTTTGCAGGGGAAACATCATTTTCTGTAGCTTCACAGCTTAATGGTTCATTGTTGTCCCCGCATTCTTGTTATTGCAAACTCAAGTCCCCAATGTTTCATCATTTTTTGCTGCACCTGTTTCACATTCTCGGAAGCCAAATGGAAGAGTGGAAGGAACTGCTCATCATTTTGTTTATGTTTCAAGATGTTCAAACCCCAAAATCCCGTGAATTCCAACAAAGTTCCATAAACATCTCATAAAAACCGCTAGTGAACATGCTATACAAATGTAATTGTTCATCATGTTTATAATTGTTTATATTTTTTTATGGATATATCGATATACCCTCTGGTAATTTAACGTAGCTATTGAAAATGGCCATTTATAGTTGTTTTTCCCATAAAAGATTGTGATTTTCCATAGCTATGTTAGTTTACCAGAGGGTAAATGGGATGATCATCCTCCATCCAGGAGGTTCAAGCGTCCCAAACCTTCGAACCTCCAGCGCGTCCACCTCCGGTGAGCACCGTCTCCATCTCCGACCCGACGCCGACACCTGCGGTCTCCACAGCCAGCAAGGAACCCGACTCGCCGCGGCGGAGCCGAATGAACTCCAGGGTCACTTGGTTGGGCGGGACAAAAAACGTACCCGATATGGGGGTTCAACTGTGTTAAATATAAAGGACACACACACATACATATGTATATATATATATGAATAGGTATATGACATATATATATATATAGATATATGTGTGTGTGTGTTATGCATGTGCCAATCATAGAAGATTGTTATTATCATTTGGAATCATGATGATAAATGGAAACATTTGTACACAAAGAGTACTGATGAATCATGTATTACAGTTATACGTGTATCTATATATATATATGTGTGTGTGCGTGTGTGTGTGTGCGAGTGCGCACGTGTGTGAAGGCAATAATCTGTGGGGAATTCTGGATGACGCCTGTGGGAAATCTCATCCGGGAATTAACATAGCTGCTATATATAGAAAATCACCAGGCGTTTTATAGGTAAATCATCTTGAAAAAACATGGTCGTCCATATCTATGTTCAATACCTGAGGGTATTGTTCATGATCGGGGTGTAAGAACCTAGTGCGTGGCTGTAAAACAAATTGGTCACCGTATGATTTAGGCCAGTTGGACTGGGGTCACATAGCCATTTACAAAATATTTGTTTAATTTGTAAGAATATTTTTGAATGGGGCTAAAAACCAGATGCAATCCTTCTCGAGGGACTCTCAATTTGGCCATAGGGGGAAGGGTTGGACATGGGATTTTGAATGATCTTGATAATCCTTAAAACCAACAATTTTTAGATACTGTGAGGGGGACCTCTCAGGTTATCCATGTCGCAAACCCCCAGGCGAGTTTCTTCAACAAGCCATTGGAGCACCTGAAGTCCAACGAGCGTTTAGATCCGTCGGTGGCTACAAGCATGTCGAAGCCAACGCAAATGCTGTTGGCCATTTACTACCAGATCCTAGGCTCAAATTGAAGGAATACCTTCTGGTGTCATCAAACACGGCTGAAGAATCCACTCATCTACAGTTCCATGCTTTCCTAATCACGTCCATTTAGTGAGATCCTTTTCCATGTTTGATTGCCAGTATTTATTTGATATTTTGTCTGATGGTGGGTCACTAGTGTGTTTCACCCACTTGGGGTCAGGGGTTCTGCAGTTCTGTGAGGGTGTTTGAGTTTACTCCCGTTTTTTTTCCAATCTTTTTGTCAAACAAGTATTTGAGATCATCATAGATCATCAAATATAGTATATGTGATGTGTGTTGGTTGACAGCATCTTTGGGAGTTCAGTTTGATCGTGTTTCATCCATGTTCGAAATTATTTATCAGGTTTCTGAATTGAATTGATCCTCCAACCACAAACTGTTTGAGATTGTGGTCCCATGTCACAATGGTCCTGGTGCCCAGTCATGGGGCTTTTCCCAGATTTGATGCTTCAATGATTGCTGCCCCCAGCAGCAGATGGCTGCAGGTTGGACAACAGCAAACTACGCACCACCGATTTGATGCGGCGCGTGGATACTTCAGGCGGAGAATCAGTTGGGAATGATGTAATGATGGCATGGCGCTTCCTGATATGTCCTCTATAGATCTCTATAGCTGTTATTTAACAGTTTGCTATGGAAACCATGGCCCATCTAGTTCGATGATTGATGATTTACCATGATTTACCTATTCACAATGGTGATTTTCAATAGCCAAATGAAGAAATCGATGCTATCAGCTGTGGGTGCGGTTTTGGGATCCTTAGTTCAGGATGGCTCCTTGCACGATGTGTGGTATGCACCCTCGTTGAAAGTTGAAAGAGGGTTTTGACGTTTGTTCACGCCGTAGAATGTGGAGGGTCAACTGTCCAAGAGTTCATCTAATCCAGCAGAAGCAAGAAATGGGCTCCTGGTACACCACACCAAGCAGTCAGGATTGACTCATTGCCGAAAAAGTCCTGAACATAGAAAAAATGATGAAAATTGAAAAATGAGGCGTTCAATTCGATGTTTTGAATTGTCGGATCTCGGAACCATAGATCCATTGGGTCAGCCTTTGACGTCAGGAGATGGTGAGATATCAAGGAGTGAACTGCGCAAGGGTTTAGTGGATGTCTTGGGGCCACTCGGCACTGGCACTGGCTGAATGGCAGCAACCAACAGGAATGGCTCAGATGGATGGAACCTTCTTTGATTAAGGCGACCCCAATCATGGTATTTAGGTGATTTTAGGTTTAGAGTGTGCTGTAGTGCATGTTTTTGCTCCTAATCAGCATGACTTGTAGGTTTGGTATTGCACCTTTCAACCGCAAGGTTCAACATGTGGGTTCGTCCAAAAATGGTGTATACCGTATATATACCTCAAAAATGCAGTTTTCATGGAAATATGGCTGTGATCCATTCCATTGCAGTATATAGATTGGGGGTGCCCCTTTTTCAACCGCCAACGCCATATCTTTAACCAACGTGGCCATAGTTAGCTACGTACGACTGTTCGCAGGTAGCTGGCCCTGTAGAGGCAGATCATTGCAGGGTGCCTTTCTGAGTCTCACACACACATTTAGATAGATACACGCACATGTGCGTACAATATATACGTAACATAAATATGTATATATATATATATACGGATCGGGGATATATATGCATGCAGAGATCGTACAATATCATGTCATTTCATTGCCATGAATAAAATCGACTTTGCTCAGCTTGGTGACTTATTTACCCTAACTTTCTTCATACCAGCTTTACCCAACCCCCTTTTTTCAACATTCTTTCTGTCACGTTCCCACTTGTTGACCTAATTCTGTTGGAAAGTCCCCAAGTTGTGAGCCTATCCCATGTTTTTTCACGAGTGAAGCAGCTATGTAGACCATAGTTACAGGCAGCACTGTCGATCCATGGATCAGCATTGGAGATTTGCCCTTACCTGCCATGGTTTAAGTTCCTGCTCTTTCTATTATTCGTTATTCGGGTCAGCATGCACCACAACATGTTGAGAAAAATGCGATGAAATTTGGGCAATGCTCGAGATCTCATGACCATCCAGGATGCCAAAGTCCTAGAAACGCAGAGAATCTCTCACTGTTTCATTGCTTCGTTGCTTCATTGATTCACTGATTCCTTGATTCATCGATTCATTGGTTCATTGTTTTTTTCAGTTCATTGGCATCTCAGCCACATTTGTTTCATTCGTTGATGCACTTCACAACTTAAACACTTCATTGCTTCTGCATCTCAAAACTGGTTTCCTATCGGCCATTGATTTCTTATCGTTCGCCAGATCTATGGTTTCGAACCTTCCGCCCTGGCGCGGCAGAATGCACTACCCGGTACAGAATCATCATATTTATCGAATACAATCCCAGAAAATAAAGCAACAAAACAAGCTGGTGCTGCCATGTTCAACATTTCCAGCGTAAAAAAATGTAAAAAACCAAGGTACACTTGTTCCAACGACGACTTCAAAGAGTTGATGAGGGTGTTAGATGCTGATGGCAGCGATTCCATCACGTTGAAGGACGGCGTGGATCTGATGGCAGCTTTTTTCGGAAAAATCGGGGGTCGTAACCTTGGGATCTCGCTGGTAGTTTATGGGATTCTATGGTGATTAATGGGATTTTGAAATGATTTAAACACACACACACATGAATAATACGCGTATATCATATATATATAATATACAACATGCATGCCCTCTGTCAGCTAGCCTATATATATACCCTTAGCTTCCAAACCCTACAAATTTGTCGGGTGCAAACTAAAACCCTGGGTTTAGCCGTGATCATGCTAAAAACCTTGGGTTTGTCACAAAAACCAGGGTTTTCTTACAAACTGTCCGAATTCGATATAGTGCTTGCTTCCAACACTTCTCCTACTTTGCTTCATCATATATTTCTTAGATTTTCCTCCATTCAGCCTTTCCGTCAGGAAACCACATCTACATTATACATCTGAAGTAGAGAAAAACGCAACCCCAACATGGAAAAGTACGGGTCGGGAATTCAAGCCTCTAGCAAACCGTGTTCAACCCGTGATTTACCCGTGTCAACCCGTGTTTTCTTAAGGAATGCCCAGGGTTTGTAGGCTAAACCTCGTGTATTTTGAAAATAACCAGGTTTTCTCTAACCCGTGTTCAACCCATGTTCAACCCGTGATTTACCCGTGTGCACCCATGATATAAACATGTGTTGGAACCCCTTGGAACTGGTGAAAATATAATATGTTTTTGTTGTGTGTTGGGCTTGTGTTTGGGCGTCGATGACCAGTAGACTGGACAGAAATGCAACACTTTTTGAGGACCCACCGCATTAATAAAATCAGAGCATTTGGGGGCATGGTCTCGAAATTTGTGGAAATAGAAAAACCTTGGGTTTTGTTTTGAAACCCTGGGTTTTAAGTGCCACCCTGCGAATTTTGCGGGTTCGGAGGGTCAAGGTATATATATTTATAAACAACAATTCAACCCCTCCCGGGGTCTCAACCCTGATGAAAGAGCCGCGACAGGAGATGGATCGAGCACTAAAGCGAGCCGCGAAGGGCGAGGATCTGATGGTGGAAACCGCCTCTGAAGCCGCTGGGACATGGATGGAATTTGGTTCTTCTATTGTTCTTCTATCCCATAGGATCCATGGTGCTGGTATATATACTAACATAAAGGGGGTATATTGATGGGATCCATGTTACCATATATAGCATACATGGATCCTATGGGTATGGTTATTCTATTGTTCTTCTATGTTCTGGATATACTAATTTGGTTAACTATAGATTAACTTATCATTGTCACTACAATCTGGGTCTTATGGGTCTTATTTTTATTTTGATGAGATGTGACTTGTTGATTTCAATTCCGTTCGAATGTATTTAAAGTACTAATGCCATCGTTGTCGAAGATATTCCATACGATGCTGATCGAAAAGGCTGGTGACCATTTCCCGGGGTGCCGACATACCTGGCTGGGTTAAGGCAATCCTTCACGACGCCATGATTCAAGTGGCACCTTGGTGATTTTGACATATTCGTGGCGCTGGATCTATGGTGGGCACCAAAAAATAGCACTGGAAAGTGTGGTGTGGAAGCATTGGATTTGGAGGGTTTCCCAAAACGTCGGACCAAGCGAAACCGGGGACCTCAAAATCATCCAACATGTGTAACGAATTTGTCATTTTTGATGGGGGCACGGTATCCCCAAGTTTACATCCAGATTTTGGAGAATTTTATTAGAGATCATCACAGCATATCACAGCTAAATGATTATCACTTATCACTAGTTATCACTACCGAGGACACGGTGATGGGCATCTCCATCACTGCAGACACGGGGGATTCCATCTATGTTGCGCGCGCCAAGTGGAAGGACGATGAGATGCTTGGTGCGACCATCGCCAGTGGTCTAAGTGGTTTCGCCAGATGTTTCTTGGGTGTTAAGAGATGTTACCCTCTGGTAAACATATAGAAAACGATGGAAAACCACCATTTTTCATGGGAAAATCCACTATTTCTATGGCCATTTTCAATAGCTATGTTAAATTACCAGAGGGTATATAAACCATGTCAAGACCACGGTATATGTCAAAAACCATTTTATGTGGAATATGTGCAACAACACCGCACTGGCCGCACTGGCATAGCCAGTATGAGCTGGTAGAACCAACCACGCCTTTGCCAACCACTCTGTGGAAATCTGGAACAGTTTTCCCATGGTATGGAAGATGCAATGGCAGATGTGAGGAGTCTGCACGTCGGGAACAGGGCCCATTTTGGTATGATTTTTTATCTAAGTTAAACCATTTTTACTCGTAGACATCCTGAACCCGGCTGGAAGAAACCTGACGAAATCATTGAAATCTATCCTGTTTGCAATTGGCATGCTGACTCTAATCCCATATTGCAGTTGAGACATTTCTGGGGCTATCCCATGAAAAATGTTTTCTAGTGCAAGGTGCTGATTTCGTGGATTTTTCTGATAAAGGGGTGTAGAGGGCACATCTACAAGAAACAACGGATCTATATAATATTGCAATGTGTCACCATCACGATTGCAGGGTTTGCTGCACCTTGTTCTTAAAACTAGCAACACCTAACTAGCGGACAATTTTCCTGCCCCCAATTCTTGGTTTGTCACCACTTGCAGAGCTGCTCCAACCATTACAGGTCAGTTATAGCTACAAAATAGCAGTGAGGGATATTTTTGATGGTAAGCCATGGAAAATCACAATTTTTAATAGGTAAACCATCTATTTCTATGGGCCATCTATACCATGTCGAACTGTTAGTCATAAACAGATGGTAATTTGAAAGACCTCTTTCTCTAGCCAGATTGTCCGCCCTCTTGTGGGCCAGGGAGCATCTGACTTCGTTTTATCTGAGGAAGGGCAAATGCCCCAAGACGGAGGCGCGGCCGGGCCGCATCAGCGGCCCTGCCACCGAAGACTGTGCCATCAGGCGCAGCACCGAGCTGGGGCCAGGGGACCAGAGATTTTGGGAAAATTTGGTCAAGGATTCTCCGTTTGAAGTTTGGGGAGTCCCAGATTTTGACTCATTAATAATGGGTGTTCAAGATTCAATTTCTGACATTTCTGACACCGAATTTTCGCGGGTTTTTCAGCCCCAGTTATTGATAGAAGATGATAGAAGGGTCCAGTGTCAACGATATGCGAGGCAACAGCTGAAACTCGTGGCCAAGAAGAACAGCCCAGAGCTCGCCATTTTGAGATGCTCAGCTCCAAAGGTGTTGCTGGGCAGGTGACCTGAGTAAATCAAATCGCGCCTTTTGGGGCTGAAATTTCTGAGGCTACCATCACTTGAAATGAAAGGCAAAAAAAATAGCCATATGGATTTGTATCTAGGGCTCCCAATTTTTGAGTTACACCCTCAAAATCTCAGATGGAAACAGCACAAATTATCAAAAACATTCAAAGACCATCAAAAAACTTCAAAGATGATGATTCTTTACACCAGTTTTGACCAATCTTGCTACATGTTTTGCTGTGTTTCACCAGCAGCAACGGGCTCTTCCGTTGCTGCCATTCCTAGCCACGCCTCGGAACCTCCAAGGCGTGTGTCGTAGGGAGCCGGATGGTCAGGAGGAGATGATCGGTCAATGCATGATGAACGTGCAGAGCGAAGAGCACCACGACCCTTGGTTTTTGACTTGGCAAAACCAGGCGATGGTTCGATGGTTTTTGCGAGACGTGAACCATGTGTCAAGCACGCACTGTTTAAATAACACACTGTAAATATGGATTGGATTGATAACTCCCATGTACATATGCTAAACATTGCAAAAACACTACATATGCATTTGGAATTTGGGCGAGTCGATGGTGTAAATATGCAATATATTATATCTTCAATGCTGCCTGCCACTCTTTTGCTTGTCCCTTGCCCAGCATGCGTCTAGAATCCTCGTACTTTTCGGGACAACCCAAGGCTCAAAGTCTTTCAATCCTGAAAAGTTGATGGTTTAACAGCCTCTTTCTAGGACCTCAGCCAGGCTCCTGTTTGCTCCAAGGTCCTCAAGGTGTTTCAGCGGAGCACCGACCAGACGCCAAGCATCCCCTGCGCAACTAAGGATGTGCATTGGCTGAAGCTTCTAGATGCTAGGGGCCTCCAGACGGGCGCACAAGTTCGATTGCGGGTGAAACTCAAGGTGCCAATCTGATCGCTGGATGAAGTGGACAAAATCCCCATGGGGGCTATGACACGTAAAGTCAGCGAAAGGTGGGAAATTTACCTACTATATCCATCAATATCCTGCAACAAGGGATGTTGAAACTGTTGGAACATCAGGGGATGCGACCCAGATATGATCGGTGCTGGATGGTGGTGGTAAACCCCAACGTGGTACTGACACAGCTCACTGTTCATTGGGTCTCAATGGTTTTGACAGACCCTTGAGGGGTTACAATTTGTCGGGCTGACAGGGACTGTAATTTCTGCTTTGCGGTTTCATTTTCAAATTCTTACTTACCCTCCGGTGTCGGCAATGGAAAATACCCTTTTTATCCATTTTTTGACGGGTGAGGAGAGTATTTGGAATGATGATGCAAATTCTTTAGGCAGCTTTGTGATGCTGATGTCCCGTGGCTCTGAAGGTGCAAAAGCCGCACTTGAACAAGTCAGCGACCTTGCCACTCGGAGCACTGAGGTGTTGAACACCTCAGTGGCCAAGCCCCATAGAATATTGTCACTTGGGTAAATTCGTCGAAAAAATAAGCGTTCCTTGAGCTTTGGAGCCATTTGGCCAGGGATACTCCGCATTTCAATCTTGAAAGCCAGGACCCGTCACATGGAAATTGCATGGCTAAGCCGGCTAAGAGGCCAAGCCCGGCGAAGAGATCGGCCAAAAATACCCTCTGGTAATTTAACATAGCTATTGAAAATTGCCATTTATAGTGAATTTTCCCATTAAAAATGGTGATTTTCCATAGCTATGTTAAATTACCAGAGGGTAATCCAGTGGTGTCGGTCCCAGGTCGCGAATGGACTCACAACAGTCCTTATCCCCCAGATCTCCCAGAGTGGCTGAGAAGCCCCAGGACTGGGCGACTTCATGTTGGGTTTTCATGGGCCATTTATAATGGAATACCCGCTGGTAAACTAACATAGCGAACTGGAAATCACCATCTTTAATAGGTAAATCATGGTAAATCAACTATAAATGGTCCATTTTCCATAGCTATGTTAGTTTACTGGGGGGGTATCTTTGGGATGTAAGTACTGCATAGAACAGGCATAATTTACTAATAATGACTTGGCTTTGTCTTGAAATGGAGCATGTACCATCATGTGCCCTCATCCTCAATGTATGGCATGTGAATGGAGCAAAGCATTTGAAACCATCGGAATTGGGCGTGCCCATTTTGAGACAAATTCATGTGGACAATTTGCAAAAGATGGGGGTACTATATACGCTTTTTCGTTCTTGGCAGAGGAATTTGATACATAGGAAGTTTGAAGCCGGTTCATAGAATCAAGAGTGAATCTTGAAATGGACTAATTATGAATGATTAAGGTTCTTTGGTGGAGATGACGAAGCACAATGAAGCACATGCATTGCATCCACACGCATCACGCATCATGGCGTTCATTTGGTACAGTACATTATTCACGATTGTTGGCTGTGTTCCTTCTGTCTTTTGGAAAGCTCACCTGACAAGACACCACTATCATTTGTAAATACGAGTTATGTTCCCTTTAAATTTCCATATGTTACAATATGTTCAATCGATTGCACTTGTATGAGCCTCGCAGTTCGTAGTCAATACCTTTGATCAGTCTCCCAACTCAGTTGGCCCAGTTGGCCCAGGACCCAGAAGAGACACAGCGGAGGTTTGAGAAGATGTTCCTTGTGATGAAAAAACGGCTTAGTCCCAGCACCATATTTGTTTAGTGCCACTAAATTGCGAAGACAATGATAAACCAATTGTAAGGGTTAGGACAATGATAATCCCATTAAACATCGATAAACCATGATAGCTTTTGGGTTTCCAACATTTTAAGGCAATCTCATCAGAAGGGGTCAAAGCGGAGCACTCCGGCACCGGATGAGTTGGAAATTGGGGGGGCCCAGTTTGACAGGCCAAACATGTGTGTCCAAATAGGAATATATAGTCAGATCTTTGCAGGGGTTAAAGCATTCAAATACCCAATGGAGAGATATGGAGAGGCATACTGGCACACATTGACATCCATTCTCCTGATATTTTTGAGAGAGTCTCTCTAAAGAATTCAGTGAACAGACAAAGAAACCATTTCAAATTTCACACTTTGACTGGGACTGATTATGCAGCTTGTTAAACAAGGGGCGTCATTTTGCAGTTTGTTTGCAATGGTGGTTAATGGTTTCTTTGAAGCCCTTAAACTATAAGCAGATTAGCAGTGAGTGTGTCATACCGGGTACCATGGCAACAGTTCAGAAGCCAAACTTGAGGACTGAAGGAAGTCAGTTTCTTCCCATCCCTTTTGTAGACAAGCTCGCCACCCCTGATTTTGGTGATTTGTTGATTTGGACCCCCAAAAACGAAACAAGTGCAATAAGAATCAATAAGATGCAATCAAAGACTGGTACACAAAAGATAATTTCATATAAGTTCCATGTGTTTTCTTTGGTGCATTCATTTGAAGTTGTTTGTTTGGATTCAAACCCTGGTATTCTCCAGGATGGGCCTCCTTTCTCAGGCACCAGTTGCATGACGAAAGGCTAAAGAAAATGGAGGAGAAACGGAAGGCTATGGAAGCTGCGTTCCCTGGCGGGACGGTGGCGAGAGGAAGCTGGCGGGTGTTTCTGTGTGGTTCCAATGGGGTCTCGCATGGGATTTACCCCAAAATGGCACTTCGAATGGGGAAAACGGATGAAAAACGGATGAGAATCCATTGGAATCTGGGATAATTTAGGGTATTTTGATATTTTCTTCAGACAGACCCAGATGGAGTGCAGCCACAAATTGCCAACCAGCAATGACAGAGAAAGAAGAAGCAGCGGCAGTAAGGCCAACGTGTGGATGGAGAATTCACTCTCAACACCAAGGATGTATAATTAAGATTCGTTAAATGGGAACATTGGGAACTGCATGTTCCAAATTGTCCATTCACACAGCGAATTAGCCAAACTTGCCGGAAACGCTGGGACATATCATGACGGGCCGCCTGCAGGACGGCCATAGCCGAGGCACCTCCAACAGCTCCAAGACGAGGCTCAAAAGTTGAAGCGCCTCGGAAGTCGGGCGGTGGTTTGCCGGGAAAGCCATGGGCGCCTGATTGGGAAGCCATTGGAACGCATTAATGTCATTGGGAACTCCCAAATGTGATGATTAGTCATGATTAGTCAATATTAGTCATGTGTTTCCCATATTTTCCCAATGACAATTTGAGTTTAAATGACTATTAGTTGGTTTATATTTGTGTGATGTATGATGTAAAATGACTATTTGGTGGGAGCATAACCTTATTTCCAGGCACAGCCACGGCCACACAGGGAACCCTTTGGGCGATGACAAGAGCCACAAATTGGGCATTGAACACCACGACAAAATAACAACTGGAGATGAACCAGCAAACATGGGGGATGTTAACGTTTCAGGCCTGGAAATGCCTCCAAAACATTCCAAAACAGGCAAGAAATTCGAAGGAACGTGTTAAAATCAATGGATTGATTGGTAGGAAAATTTACAGGAACCCCTGAGATCCATGGAAAGAACCCCGGGTTTCCCGGATTCCCTGTAGATTTCCCTAAAACCCCACGATTGAAGGCCTTAAAAATGGCTGAAATCTTAAGCCTCCAAGGAGCAAACGCGTGAAATCCGCAGACCTTTGCCCGCGAGCGGCGGCGGATCGTTGGGAAGCCAAGGGTCCGTCCCCAGCAGTGCCATTTCTGGCAGGAAAGCCGTGGGGTTTGTCCTTCCAAATGCGAATTTCCTGCAAGTTTTTTCCGGAAACCAATTTGGGGATGCAGCGGGATGCAATTTGCTTGGCGTGGGTTTGAGTTTTTTTTTAAAAAATCAGCATTACAGAATTTTTGTACTTCCGTGAAGGTTATTTACCCCGCTAGGGTTTTCCATGGTTTTCTACTTCTAGCTTCAGTCCCTGTCACCTATTGGAAACGATGACGAAGCGCACGTGGTTTCCACAACATTTGGCTTAGCGCTCAGGCCTATATAGGGACAGCAAGGTGCAGAGGGGTTGAGCATTTCAATCCATGGCCATTTTGGTGTTTGTTGGATGTTGTTGGACCAACTGGTTGACCGTACTTCTTCTATATTCTACTGGTTGGTGGTTTCAACCATTTTTTTCCCATAATATATGGGAATGTCATCATCCCAACTGACTGATATTTTCAGAGGGGTTGGAACCACCAACCAGTCTATGTCATTCTTATGTAGATTATATTGATCCATTTCGGTGTTGTTGGTACTCCCTGCAGGCACACTTTGAAAAACATCGCCGGAAGTTTCTGTTGTTTTCGACAGTGCGATCGGCTCATGGGCCTGTTTTCATCTGCCGATCATGGCAGGCACGGATGCGACGGAGGCGTGAACATCAATACAATCACTATCAGGAAGAAGAGGACAACCTTCGCAAGCTGAAAGAGGCCTGGGCCATTGGTTCCTTGCCGGGTGAGAGGTCCGAGAGGTCCTGAGCTTGCATTCATGAGCATTGGGTATGAATCACAAAACGGTTTGGGAAAATCCAAGTTACCCTCTGGTAAACTAACATAACTATGGAAAATCACAATTTTTTAAGGTACATCAACTATAAATGGCCATTTTCAATGGCAAACTGTTAGTTTACCAGAGGGTATGTTGATTCATAGCTTGTTTGGCTTAAGCATGCCAATACATGGCATCATGGCATCATGGCATCAGGGCACCGGAAAATCCGCAAACATTTTCAATGCGTAAATCCTCTACGGATCAGACTTGGGGGTCGGCCATTGTTGGTTCACTTTTTCGTGTAACCAACAATGACAGGAGATCAGTTCTCCCCCAGCCATGAACAAATTATTTGATGATCAATTTCGAGATTCCTTCCCCCTAATACTGACACCCGCAGAAACCATGGTGGATGTAGGGGGGGTCAAAACACAGACTTGTGACCATCTCAATTGGGGCTGTTTAATATTAGGAGGATGGGATTATTTTACAAAATGTTTATATACATTATACATTATTTATTTATGTAAATACTGTATAATACTGTATAATATTGTATAATACTGTATAATACTGTATAATACCGTATAATACTGTATAATATTGTATAGTACTGTATAATACTGTATAATACTGTATAGTACTGTATAATACTGTATAGTATTGTACAATACTGTATAATACTGTATAATACTGTATAATACTGTATAATACTGTATAATACTGTATAATACTGTATAATACTGTATAGTATTGTATAATACTGTATAATACTGTATTATGTATAATACTGTATAATACTGTATAATACTGTATAATACTGTATAATACTGTATAATACTGTATAATACTGTATAATACTGTATAATACTGTATAATACTGTATACTGTATATACTGTATAATACTGTATAATACTGTATAATACTGTATAATACTGTATAGTACTGTATAATACTGTATAATACTGTATAATACTGTATAATACTGTATATACTGTATAATACTGTATAATACTGTATAATACTGTATAATACTGTATAATACTGTATATACTGTATAATACTGTATAATACTGTATATTTGATTTGGTTAGTTGTCAACCATTGTATTCCCATATCCCATGAGTTGTCCCATGTTAGAACGGCCAGGAAAACCGGCAGTTCTGGAGCCGCTCCCTGAACAACGTGCCTTGAATTTTCGCCGGTGAGAGATGGCCAAAGATGTTGCTATGATGTGGGTTTTTGATGGTTTTTGATTATTGGCTCAGGGTTTTTTGAATCCTGACATGTTGTTTTTCAGTTCCAAAGATGGCAAGAACATCTCAGGTGAATGAGGATCTATACACCAGCCCCTTCTCAGGTGCAACTAGTGAACTCAGAGAGTGCGGGGAATCGCTTGCACGACAACGCCATCAACAAACAGCAACAGATGCAACAGCAACCTGGCTGCACACGTTAGCTATGTCAGCTATGTCAGATGGATTTCAGATGGTGATGGTGAATGATGGTCACATTGGAAGATGTTGATAATGTCAAAAGTCAGCTGATTGACAATGATTGACATGAATGGAAATGCCATGAACTCCGCCAGCATGGTGGGGCTTCCAGGAAATCAACAACAACTGACCTGTCGTTCCAATGGAATTTTGAATAAATTTGAGGGACGCTTGGAGTGAGAATCAGTGCGCTCCTCGTGTTCAGGAAGATCCGAGAAAAGAACGAGGCGCGTTCTTCCGGGGTTCGGACAGGTTGATCCGGAAACTCTAGGGAAACTCTTGCCAGCTGGATGCTAGCGGGAAGACCCAAAAGACGGTTTCAGCACTTGCTATTGTTACGCGCTGACACCATCGTTTGCCCGAGCATTCAAAGACCACAACATGCACATATATCTTAAGATAAGTATCAATACATGTTGATCTGCATAACATGATCATATATGTTGGGATATTGAATCATACCATACGGATTCAAATATAGATGCGTGGAAATTGTACCATGATTGGATACATATCATACCATGTGGGGTCTCTGTTCTGTTTCGTATTGTTACTTTGTCATACTTGTCATCCAATGTGGGAAGCTGTTCAAAAGGGGCCACCATCCTCGCAGTCAAAATAATCACTTTCAGACACTTGGATTAGCGAGACGAGAGGGTTCGAGGATTGGAAATTAGATGAGAATGACATATGATGAGATGATATGGTACGATACTGACTTGACACTGTGAACCATATCCATATCATGGTCATCTAATCATGGTTATCATGGTCCATACACTGGTTCCTGCACTTTTTGCAGGGCTGTTTGGCCTGCAGCTAATTTTCCCAAGCTGAAAGGCAGATTGCGGCCCTGAAAGGACATCCCGGCCCCTTTTTCAAACAGTTTTGGGGTTATGAAACCATGTTGAATCCTAATATATAAATGTCATGCAATGTTCATCCATCTAGATGATCTAATTCCTGGAACTTTATTCATCTCCTTCCATGAAAAACTAGGACTAGGATCACATCTTGAACATTATTGAACTATTGAACCACAACCTCAAGCTGTTCATGAAAGGCAGAGGTCAAGGAAGCCAAAGAGAAAGCCTCCCGAACTGTGAAGCGAGCGAGCTGCCTGGCGACCGTTGGTAAAAGTGCTATAGGATTGTGGGTGGTTCAATCTCCGTTCCCACCTACCAACCACACACAGATATGTATATTATACAATATTATATATTATTAATTATCATTGTTATTATTATTGTTATTATTATATATTATCTTTATTATTATTGTTAGTATTGTCATTATATATATATATATGTACATATGTGTGTGTGTGTGCATAATTGCACATATATGTACATCACTAGAACTGTATGGAAGGGGCTTTTCGTTTGGTTTTTCCACGTGTCTTGGCTTGTTGGGATCCCAGGCAGTCTTGGTGCGATCATGCCTGAGAGGATGTACCTGCAGGCGGCTCCGAAAGTCCTGGCTCCGAAATGTTGAAGCGACCGGTAGATGTTGAAATTTAGTTGTTTTTTCAATATAATGCCTGCATGCAGCATGGATACATGGATGCATAGGTACAAAAATCGATAGATAGATAGATAGATAGATTGATAGATAGATAGATAGATCGCTTGATACATGCATGCATGCATACAGACATACACACGTGTAAGTATATATATATATATATGTACAGTATTTCAGTATATACAACATAGACACCCCACACACACACACACACGCACACATACACACACATTGCATATATATATATATATGTATATATACATGTACATATTTGTGTGTGGATGTTCAAGTTTTTTCTAGATGAGTTAATTGCCTCCAGATGATATGTATATACATATATATACATTCATTGGAATGTAATTGTAAGAAAGTAAACTCCCCAGCTGCACAATGCTAGGATGACCCACAGATCCTACCATGTTGTGGGCGGTACAAGGCCCCCTTGATAAATGATTACAAGCGTGTAGGTTGGTTTTAATCACGACTCATGTCCTAGTCATTTTAATTTTTTGACACCGACAAGTTTCAGCCCAATGCTTTGTGACACGGAACCATGATTCCGACTTGTCAGGCCCAAGAACATCGGAAGATGAAGGAGGAGGAGAGACAGAAGATGGAAGCGGAAGAGGTGAGGAAGTTTCATGAACAGGCGGCAGCTCAAGCGCGTGGGTCAGGGTTTGTCAACACGCACATGTCTATGGATCTAAATGGATCTGTTGTAATATGTACAAAATTACTATGCAGGAACCGGAACCCCTACTTGAGAGGTCTTGCGAACTACAGTATATACAACGATATAGTGAAAAGGCATTTAAAGCTATATAGTGAACTACATAAAGGGATAACTTTTGCATCGAGACCGCCTTTGTGACCCTTAGATATATATACATATATATATATAGTACACTGTGATAATATAATATATATATATATATCCTGATATAGTATCATATGAATTCATATGATATATATATATATATGAGCAAGGGTCAAAAGACGCTATGAAAGGCATCAATTACGATCCGCCATCACTACTCAAAATATGTGATTTACTGTGTGTAGCGATAGGGGGCCTTATGTAGCGATACCTCTTTTTAGACTTTGTTTATGATTGAAGCTTCCTGTTGGGCGCATGACTTTCCAATCTTTTGATGTCAGAGTGCGACACTGGAGCAGTCGCAGTGGGCTGGTCTTCCTGGGTAGTTGCAAGATGGCCTGTCGTCAAGTATATATGAGATAGTTACATTAAACAATATTGATATATTGGGGTATGTTGATCTATAAGGTATGCAAGAAACTAATTCATAACGCATCATGAGCTTGATGATGGTGATGATGCTGATGATGATGGTGATGGTGATGATGTTGATTCAGATAGTGACCGTGCTGAGATATGTTGAAAAGCATCCTTGTGCGGTCACGGACGCTTCTCCAAAGCCACTGTCCAGGAGTAGAATTGCAACATGGAGCTTGTCAGAATTTCGTGTCACTTGAAACATACACCTGAGATCACACAATTTCTGGTCCCCGTAGCGATGCCCGAAGCGATACCCCTCGATACCCAGAGCGATACCTGAAATCCATGAAATTAGGGAGTACCCCACATGGTCACTTGAAACTATACAACTTGTGCTATAGGTGGAAAAATATGGTAAGTATGAACAAGGGTACCCTCAAGTTCTTACTGGGTTAATTCTTAAAAGGGTTCATTTGGTCAGGGTTTTGCCGATTCATTTTGGCGTGGTATTAGGTTGCAAAGGAGGCGGGGTGAAGAAAAAAAGGCGCCGGAAACAAGGCAGCACAGGCAAGACAAGCCAAGACAAGCCAACACAAGCCAAGGGCAGCCTCCGAGGTCAGATGACCTGCAGTGAGTCCGGCTGGTGTCTAGCTGAAGCTGTCGACGTCAGCCTTGGTGATCACGTAAAAGTTTGAATTTCCCTGGAGATACCATCGCAAGGGGAATAAGAATCCGATTCCTCATCTGGATCCTCCTCTTCTAGCAGCAATTCTGCCTAGTTGGTGAAAAGGGTGCTGGGACTGTGTGTAGCGATAGGGGGCCTTATGAAGCGATGCCATGACCTCACCACATGAATTGAGTTTTGACCGTCGCACATATATATATATATATGTGTGTGTGTATGTATATATATATATATATATACATACATCCTGAAGTAGATGTGTGCACAGGAACTTCAACAGGACCCACAGATTCTTGACATTTCTTGATATTTCTTGGCTATACCTTGGCCATCCTGGCTGGGGCCATATGAAGCTCCAAACTTCAGACGCATCACTGGTAGTCCCTGAGGGAAATGAACGCGTTTTTTTTGCTTTACACAGGTTGCTCCTAAGGATGCTGCGGACTTTACATCATAGCAAGACCCTTTCATATCAGTACCCTCTGGTAAATTAACATAGACCCTGGCAGATAGGGGTTGGAAGATTAGTTTCCATTAAAAATTGGTGATTTCCAGGGTCTATGTTTATTTACCAGAGGGTATCATAGAATCATATCAGTGTTTTCAACGATTCAATGTGATTTGGATGATCCTTCCACCTTGGGAAGAATTGCAGCATGAGGCTAAGAGTGATGAGATCAAGACCCCTCAGCACTCTTCCGGTAACGCCACACCACTTGACATGGAATTGTTGACTGAAACCATCTGAAACCATCTCCACCAATCACTCTTGCTTCCCCTGACAATAGATCTTTTCGAATTCTAAAATCCAACATCCAAGTTTTCGACGACCCACAACGACCATTTTGGAAGATGTTGGTGCCCCACACTACCCTTCACACCTTGGGACAGATTCTTTAAAACCATCTTCACCGGCTAGGTCGTAGGCCAAGGTCGTCGCTTGGCTGCAGATATCTACAGATCCAGAGGGTCAGGTCAGAGACATGAAGGAAGACCTGCATGCGTCAGGGTCTGATTGAAAATAGGGGATGCCTCGAGTTATGGCCATGTTGATGGGGAAAATTATGATCAAGCATCATGTTTCGGGTGTAATTACCCTCTGGTAAATTAACATAGACCCTGAAAATCACCCATTTTTAGTGGAAACTAATCTTCCAACCCCTATCTGCCAGGGTCTATGTTAATTTACTGGAGGGTATCTTATTTGCAGAGAAACCTTAAGCCTGAACCCACTCACTGGATAGCTGGGAACATCATCGAACTATTGCCGGGGATGTTCATGGATTTTCCAGCCACGTTTGATTGCCGGAAGGCACATGAACGTACATCATCTGAGAAGGCTTATAATCAGGCCCTTCACCCTAATATTATATAAACGTCCCAAGTCATAGAACCTAGGGATGTTTTTTTTTTAAAAAAAATAAGGGGATATTTAATATTCGGGGAGAAACTGGCCCCTAATATTAAATATTAAAAGACTTAATTATATGTTTAAAAAAATGTTGATTTCAAAATCGATCAAATTTCTTTTTCAAAAGCTAAGTTAAATAGTGTCAACAATTGGATTTCGATGCCTTCCCCTAGTATTACATTCAAAACCTTAATTATAATTTAAAGAATAAAATTTCCGATTTCGCAATCGATCAGATTTCCTTTAAAAAGCACGTTTGATTTCGAAACTTTCCCCTACTATTAAATTAAAAACCTTATTTTTTTAAAATACGATTTCAAAAAAAAACATACACCACTGTAATAAAAAACACTGGGGTTAATTAGTTTTTATTAAGGAGGTAGAACCTTCAAATTGGATCTTGATTATTGAATTGTTTTCTAAAGGGGATTAATTAATTAAAAGTTAACTTGACCAATCTGAAACTTCCCAAAACAAACAATCTGGGGTAGTGTATTTTATTGTTTTGGGAGGTTTTAGTAATAGGAAGAAGGGATTATATGAGTGACATTTGCCATCTTCTCCCCACCTGTTTCATTTGTTTTCTCCATATGTTCAATAGGTCATTTGCCTTGTTGGTGGGATGCAGTCTGATTTTATAAAGTATAGCGACAAAACCCTGGCCAAGCCGACCCGAAATGATGCTTAGCGACATGGTGGAATGATCCAATCATGGGAAGCATGTCTTCATGTCTTGTTCCCAGAGTAGGAATCATCTCAACATACTTTGCCTGAGAATGACAATCCAAATTATCCCTGATTATAGTAGCCCCCAAAAGAGAGATGCCTAAACATGTTTTATCAGGCCGGGATGTTAGTAGATGATATTAGATCTCCTTTTCCCATTGGTTGGTTGATTAATAGAGGGGTTTGTTTAACCCTTTAACAACAAGTGATGATAGATGGTATACCAAACCGGCCCATACCTATTTTTACCTAGAGGACATCTCAATCATGTGACATTGAGATGATATTTCCCTCATATTTCCAGGTCTTCCTCTCTATTTTGGGCCTGTTTCAGCATGCCAAGAATCCATCCATCCCAGTCATCCCCGCCCTGATCCATCCCATGGGGCTGTGAAGGCAACGTCAATCCACGAAAGTTTGAGGAGCTACACCTCGAACATCAGAGCCGTGCCGCGGCATGACGCGGCTGGGGAAGATGCTGCGGCTCCTCAAAACTTTGTTTTTTCAACCTTCTATAGGATTGAACCCATAAGAATCAGGATTTACCTTACACATGTGATAACGTAGGTATATTACGACATATATATATATATGCAGAAAGAATACAAAGCAGAGCCCTGAACGAAAATCGGCCGCACCCCAGTGCGCAAAACTGTTTCGTGGTTCGAACTATTTTAAACTGATGTTACTCAATTCTTCACGACCCTGTTTTCCATTGCTCCTCAGGGTGATTTGGCCAACCAGCAAGGTGAAATAAAGAGGGCCTTACTTCGAGAAGCTTTGGTTGCAGATGACGGCGTTGCCAGTGGAAAGTGCACTTGGTTGGAGTCTAATATAGTTTAATGGTTGTTAAAGAAAGCCCTTAAGGGAGAAGAGGCAAGTGACCTCCTTAAATCAGCCGAAGCACTGTAGCGTGCTCGCTCTGACGTTGATCTTCCATGATCTTCCCTCCCTTTGGCGAGTCTGATTCAGGATGAAGCCAGGAAAAGAGAGGATGATCGCATCAACAATGAGATCGAGCAGGGTCGCCAGAGAGCCAGGCTCAACAAGGCTTGGGTCACTGGGGTGTTGGGTGACTTTCTGCTGTTGGCTGCCTATATTATGTTTTGCCTTGTTTTGCGATGAACATCTGGGCCATACATTTTGTGACATGACCTGGGCGCTCGTCAGACGTAGGCATCTCACTAAAGAAACCGGTACCAGGTGAAAGGTGTCAACACTGCAAACAGCGATGCGCACGGTTTTGGGGGCTACTCTGTCACATTCTGTTACTGGTACAGGCTGATTATGTTGATTCTAGTTTATTCATGTTAGTTCTAATTGACAACACAATGATAACACTGTGATTGATTGATTCCAATTATAGAAATCTACATCAAGTCCATCTTTTTTGGCCGCCACATGACGCCCATGGCCAGGACAAGAACCGCAAGCTGAGCCCCAAGACCAAAGTGCCCTGGCATGAGCGCCTCACGCAACAGAAGCAGAAGGCGGAGGATCCTTCGGCCAAGGGCCCCACCATGCCCAAAGCGGTGCAACGCTCGACGGCGGCAGATTTCACGGTGGTCACCTGACAGAATCAAGCGAAGAAGGGAAACATAGGAATACTGGATGCATACCCTCCGCTAGTTCAGAAATATGATATGGAAAATCATTGGTTTTAAATAGGTAAATCAACAAAGAAAAAAACAATCCTGTGAAAGCCATTCAAGAAACATGTGATCACAGCACTGCCTTGGTTGACACAGCATATGGCATGGAAACGTGAGACAACGAAACGGCAGAAACATGTCTTTTCATTTGCATTTACATGTACAGATTTTCCAATGATCAATCCGCCACGTACCGTGGCTCAAGCATCTGCGAGCAAAAGGTGCAATCCGGCTGCTGCCAGTGTGGGAGTTGTTTCCACACTGGTAGCGGAGCTACCAAAAGCTCCTGGGCCTTTTGGGCCTACCTGCGACGTGGCGCTTGACGCGCCTTGGCAGTGGCGCACCATGGCGCTGCTGGAAACCTTCAGGTATGCAAACTTCATCCATGCTGAGGATGCAGTGACGAGCACCGAATCGAAGGGTGGTGGCTTACCTCGATTTGGTGGCGAAGCGCAGAAGCTTGCCGAGTACTGCTGGCGTGTGAGGGCGCGTGGCACTCGAGAAGCACTTCTGCCGGAAGAGGAGCAGAAGAAACTAGGACCACTTGGTTTGAGGTTGGTTGAAGGTTTGTCAGGGTCAGCACTTAGAATAGCCCAGTTGATTTCAACAACGGAGTTAGCTGGTGAAAAGGGTGCCGAAATGTTGTTGGAAAAGTTGAATGAAACCCTGAAGCCAAGAAGGATTCAGGAAGCACGTGAGTTGTACATGGCAGGTGCTCAGCAGAATGGCATGCTGAGCAGACAGCAAGGTGAACCTATGGGAACCTACTTGGTGCGCCGACAAGCATGGTACCAAGCTATGGTGGACCTCAACAAGGAGCTCAAACTGCCTGACCTGATCTTGGCCGAGCAGACGCTCACCAATGCCGGGATCACTGACAACATGCAGCTTTTGATACGCTCTGCAATCCAAGGTGATATGTCCCTGGAGAAGGTTGCCACTGAGTTGATTGCCCAGCACTCCAAGATCCATGAACGAGAAGCTCGAGGTTTTGGACCCCGACGACATGATGGAGCACGACCCAAAGGCGATGGTAGATCTTGGAAGTCTCATGGACATGGGCATCGACACCAGCGTCATGGCTATGTGGCTGAAGAGGACTACGATGATTGGCATGAACCTGAGGCCTATCAGTCCTATGACCCTGTCTCAGAGGACACCCTGGACTATGAGGACACCACGAACTATGAGTATGAGACCTACATGGGCGCTTCTGGCAACGATGAATGCCAGATCTTGGCCATGCTGGCAGCTGATGGTTTGGACGTCAATGATGAAGAGTCCATGGACTATGCGGCAGATGTGATTCAGGCTGAGCTGGAAGCCTACTATGCGAGAGACAGAGCCATCAACAAAGGGATCAAAGGTTTCAAAGGCAAGGGCAAGAGCAAGGGCACCAAGCACTTCGATGTCTCTGGTCAGTTGTCATTGACCGAGCGACAGCAGCGACTTCAGCTTTTGAAGAGTCGCACAACATGCAGGCGATGCAATCAAGTTGGACACTGGAGTGGAGATCCTAGCTGCCCAAAAGGATCTGGAAAAGGCAAACCTGCTGCTGGAGCCTCATCCAACAAGGGTGACAAGGGTTCTGGTAAGTCGCAACAACCCAAAACCAGAACCGTGTACTTTGCAGTTCATGGTGGTGATGATGATGGTGAACAACATGGATACATGGCACAAAGAAACAATGCAGTACCACCTCCCAGCAGTTTGCAGGATGGTTTTGTCACGCCACAGCAGACACCTGTGGCCACTCCGACACCAACGCCAGATCGGCGACAGCTTGATGAACAACTTGTGCCTGTGACTCAGGTTGCTGAAGGCGCCACCTTGACCCAAGACGAGCTCGACACCTTCATGCTTGTGAATGCCTTGGGTGTCGCTGAAACCCGTGATGATGGACGAATGATCTATGAAGTTCCTGAAGAACTTGCAGGCTATGGACTTCCGGCCAACTTGACTGGATCTGGACTTCAAGAGCTCTTCAGAACTCTTCCACGACTGCCGGAACCTCTTGGACTTCCTGATCTCTCCGGACAGTCTTCTGTGCCGCCTCATGCTGAACCCATGCCTGTTCAAGAACAAGCTCAACCTCAACCTTTGATGAGCAAGGCAACAATGCCTATGCCAAGTGGACCTCCTGGTGATGAACCTCCTCAACATGACAGACCTCTATGTGAACACCTCCGTGTGACGACACGTGGATCCAATGCATACTACACCCTGCGACGATGCCTTGACTGCGGAATGGTTCTTTCACGAGAACGTCGAGAATCCACCGTCACTGGAGCTATGCCCAAGGGTGGTGCTGTTGGACCTGTTGGACATGTCTTTCATCCTGATCGGATGGACTGTCCACACCACTCTGTGACCTGGGCTGGAACAAATGCGTTCCAATGGAGAAGGACCTGCCGTGCTTGTGGCGAAGTCCGAACGGGACCTGTGGCTGGCTCTGAGAGACTCAGAACTTCTGGAAGATCTGGCCCTGGACTTATGGCCACTGGCCCTGGACTTGCGGCCAACAACACTGGTCATGGACTTTCAGCTCAGGCACCTGGACTTGGCCTGCAGCGACCAGTGAGAGTCTCCTCCTTCCCCGTGCTCATTCAGGTGATTCAACATGCCCTGAATGCCAAGCGAGCCAGCATGCCACAAGCTGAGACGGTGAGTTCCACAGAACTTCACATGCTCCTGGACTATGCCATCGGTGTCACTGCACTTCATGAACTTGAATCTGGACAAGCTCCTTTGGATTTTCATGGAGCAGCTTCTTCTTCTGCAGTGACTCCTCCATCCACGACTCCTGTCCCTGGCACTCCGGCCAGTTCTGCTCATCATGGACTTCACACACCTGGTGGCCAAAGCCAAGCTGAACACCTTGAAGATCTTGGCACGAACCTTGTCAACTTCGGCAAGTTCAAAGGTCAGACCTTTTACAAGGCCTGGTGTGATCGAAGCTATGTGGATTGGGCCTTGGAGGAGGAAGAGAATGTCAAGCGAACTGGAAAATCCATCGGAAGTGGCTTGAAACAGCTTTGCCACTACTTCCGTGAGATGCAGCGTCGCCCATCTCCTGCTCCATCGGTCTCTGGATTTATGGCCGTGCAGGACAGCTGTGGATCAGAGAATGACCTCATTGCCATCCTTGACACCGGATGCAATGCGACTTGTCATGGAAGCCAATGGTATGAACGTTTTGTGCAAGCCACTGGATGTCCCAATGTCAGCTTGGACACTTGCGCTGGATCCAACATGAAGGGCATTGGTGGCAACATGCGTGTCACTGGAAAACGTGTGCTTGAAGTTTGCTTTGAGTTGACATGTGGCACGTTTGCAAGAGGCACTTTGCCTTCCCTGGAGCTTGCCCAATCACAAGCCCCTCTCCTTTTGAGCCTCGAGACACAGAGGCAACTCGGCTTCCAGATTGACATTGCCAACAACAATGTCTTCAGCACAACCTTGCAGAGCAACTTGAAGCTTGTGCAACGTGATGGACTTTTGGCGATCCGTTTGATCCCAAGCTACATTGGCCTGAAGTGCACCATCGATGATGATGGCAACACCCGCTATGAAACTTCCCTTGAAGAGCCTGGTGAACATCAACTACATCAACAACAAGGTGATCAAGATCACAGCACTCAGGCGTTGCACAATGATGCTGAAGATGATGAACTTCCTTTGACTCCGGAAGTGCATCTCGCTGTCGATGAGCTTCCAAAGACCACCCTCACAAAAGGTCAGAAGCGACAGCTGGCGCAGACCATCCATGAAGTCAAAGACAAGGACAACCACTTGTGGAGCTGCCTCAGAGCATCCAAGCATTTGTCACGACAGCCAAGAGTTTTGCCCCGTGGCTGCCGAACGTTTTTGCTTGAGGTTTTTGCTGGTGCTGCCCTTCTCTCCATGCTGGCGACTGATTTTGGACTTCCAGTCTCCCAGCCTGTTGATGTGACCCACGATGGCATCAACTTGAAATGGAAGCAGCACCGAGACTTGATCGACCAGCAGATCGAGAAGGACGACCCCTACTGCATCAGCCTCTCGCCCACATGTGGACCTTGGTCTCCTTGGCAATATGTGAACCTTGCCAAAGACCCCAGTTTTGAGATGAAGCTGCACGAAATACGCCGTGAGTGGCGTCCTGTGGTGCAATGGATGGTGCAGTTGATACGAAAGCGGCTTGCCAAAGGTCGCCAGATCATCTTTGAGCAACCCTGGCCTTCAAAGATGTGGGATTTGCTCTCAATGCAACGACTCCTACACGACGCTCCATGCGATGCAGCAACTGGTGAGCACCTTGAAGCCGTACGATGCGACCAATGCATGTTTGGGTTGAAAGATGTGGTCAACAAGCTGCCCCACAAGAAGCCCACCGGCATCATGACTGCCTCTGCTGGTGTGAAAGAGTTCATTGGCATCCAGTGCTCTGGCGATCATCAACATCAACAACTTGAAGGCTCCAATCGGACACATCGAGCTCAAGAATGGCCTATGGAATTTTGCAAGGCTATGATCTCTGGACTTTTGCGAGATCTGGAGCTCAACATGACCAAGTTGGCCTTCCCAGCCGAAGCTGTGGTGGAAGATAACCCTCTTGGAAGCCTTGACAAGATCTACGATGAGTCCGACCTTGCTCCACCTGGACTTCACCAACATCGAACAGATGACAAGGAGCTCAAGGGTGAAGAAGATCGTCAAGAGCGTGACGAAGCTTTGGCAGAAGAGGATGCGATCAGAAAACAAGAATGGCTGAGACTCCCTTACTCACAACGAGTTGCTGTACGTCGTCTTCATCAGATGACTGGCCATGCAAGCACCTCAGCCATGTCACGAATGCTTCGTGTTGCCAAAGCTGCCCCTGAAGTCATCCAACGACTTCGATACTTCAAATGTGAGGCTTGTCTTCAAGACCAAAAGCCCAAACCTCGACCTGTCGTCCGACCTCCAAATCCCTATGTGTTCAACTATGAGGTGACGGCAGATGTTTTTGAATGCCGTGATTCCCTTGGAAACAGATACAGTGTGCTGAGCGTCATTTGCATGGGCACTTTGTACCATGCTGCTTGGGTGGTGTCTGAAGGTGGTGGAACCCCATCCAGTCTTCGCTGCGCTGAAGTTGTCAGAGATGGTTGGTTGCAATTTGGACCTCCACGCTACATGACTGTGGACCGAGGGGTGCACAACCGTGGCCAATTTGCCGCACTGATGTCATCACAGGGCACCTACCTACGCTATGCTGGAACTGAAGCCCACTACCAGATCGGTAGAGCTGAGCGCCAAGGTTCCATCTTGAAGGAGATGATTGCTCACACTGTTCAAGGGAGGCACGTTGTTGGATCTCAAATGATGAAGATGGTTGTTTCTGAGTGCGCTTTTGTGAAAAACAACCGGATCAACCATGGCGGTTTTTCGCCTAGCCAATGGGTGCTTGGTCGTTTGCCTGAAGAAGTTTGCAGCCTCACTGCCGAACGAGCTGAAGGAGATCTTGGAGTGCATCAAGAAATCCTCACTGGAGAACATCAATTTGCACAGCAGCTGAACATCAGACAAGCTGCCAAAGAATCCTTTGCCCATGTGGACTCCAGCAACAGGATTCGAACTGCCTTGATGCGGCGATCCACTCCCTGCAGAGGGCCTTATTTTCCTGGAGACTTGCTTTGCTTCTACCGTGGCAACAAGTGGTTTGGCCCAGCTCGAATGATTGGCAGAGAGGGACGCTCAAATCTCTGGCTGATTCATGGTGGCATTCCCATTGTCATCTCAGAGGAGAGCGTGCGACCTGCACTTGCTGGCGAAGTCATTGCCAAGCAGATCACTGAACTGAAGCCATCGAGAAAACGCAAGCGCCAGATCACCCAAGATGTTGACCATGAACTTCCCTTCTTGGATGACCTGGACTTCCTTGATGGCAACGATGGAGATGAAGATGGATCTGGTGGTGGTGGACCTGGCTCCTACTTTCACCTTGGACGTGGTGGTGGTGAAGCAAATGTTCCTCATTCTCCTGGTCCGATGAATGTGTCCGATGATCAGCAACAAGCACAGCCTGAACCTTTGCCTGATGATGGACTTGAGTACTCTCCTGGTACTCCAGTTGCTGAGGAGGATTCACACATGACGCCTGAGGCGATTGATGGACTTCCCTTGGATGGTGATCCCAACTTGCCACCTGGACTTGTGGCCTCACCATCTGAACAGTCACCTGGACTTGTGACTGAGCTGCCTGGATTTGCAGCTACGCCTCAGCCTCCTCCCGGAATCAACTCACAATTGCCTGCAGTTCCTTTTGATGATTTTGATGAGTTGATGCAAGATGCTGTGCTGACATCGGATCAACCTCAACCTTCTGAAGTCAGAGGTCGCCTTCCGACCGTATCAGAGATTGAACCTGACCAGGAAGAAGTGCCACCGACAGTTCCTCCAACTCCTGGTCCAAACACTCCACGAGAACCTCAAGTTTCACAGCTCCAAGAGGCTATGAGGAGATCTGTCAACAAGCTTGATGGTGTGCCCAACAGACACCGCTCCAGATCTCCACCTCCTCGTGCCATGTTTGCATCTCAGACTGAGAAGCAGCAACAGCAAAGCTCAACTTTTCATGGTTTTGTGGCCAAGCGTGGTCCCAAGAAGAATGTTCAGAAGAAGATGGCGAAAGAGCTGAGCTATGGCCGAGCTGATGAGAGTTTGAAGGGACGCATTGATGCTGCCCGCACCAAAGAATGGAACAACTGGATTGGTTTTGATGCCTGTGAAGTTATTCCTCCTGAACAAGCTCAGCAGTTTTTGGAGAAGAACCCTGGCACTCAGGTGGTTCCAACACGATGGGTTGACATCAACAAAGCCCGTCAAGGTGAACCTGAGCAATTGAAATCACGTTTGGTTGTTCGAGGTGATTTGGAGAAAAGTGCGCAAGATGGTGGTGTGCGCACCGATTCACCTACAGCAAGTCACCTGATGCTTTCCATCCTTTTGACCTTTGCATCATGTCACTCTTTGATGCTGCACTGTGGCGATATCACAGCCGCGTTTCTCCAAGGTCTTGGACTTGCACGTGTTTTGATCATGGCCCTGCCCAAGGATGGTGTACCTGGGATTCCTGCTGGAAGTTTGCTGGTTGCCAAGAAGCCTATCTATGGCACCAAAGATGCTCCCAGAGGTTTTTGGAGATCACTGCACAAAACAATGCTGAAGGCTGGATTCCGTCCTGTGCCTCATGAGCAAGCGGCCTACGTCATGAATGGGCCGAATGGTGAGATTGATGGACTTTGCATTTGTCATGTAGATGATTTGCTTTGGTGTGGTGGTCAGAAGACCCAAGATGCGATGAAAGTGGTGCAAGAGCAACTCAAGTTTGGCAAAGTTGAAAATACCTCCTTCAAGTACTGCGGCAGAACAATTTCGCAGACTGATGAAGGAATTGTTGTTCAGTGCCCTCATGGACTTGAAAAGACCCGGCCGATCATGCTTAGCACTGGCCGAAAGCGTGACCGCACAGCTCATGCGACTCCAGAAGAACAAGGACAATTGCGCAGTGTCCTTGGCTCTCTCAACTGGATTGTGCGAGTGTGTCGCCCCGATTTGGCCTATGACACCAACAGACTCCAGACCTGCGTGCAACGACCAATTGTCCAAGATTTGGTCGATGCCAACAGCCTGCTTCGCCGAGCCCAGATGACGAAAGATCAGAAGTTGGTTTATGGTTGGAAACAGTTTGACTTTGACAGCATGGAGATCATTTCGATCACCGATGCCAGCCATGCTGCCGACTATGATTTGTCAGCTTCTGGAATGAAGATGGGATTTCGGTCTCAGTCAGGCCGTGTTCTTGCAGTTGGTGGCCCGGAAGTGATGCGCTCTGGAACTGGCCATATCCATTTGCTTGAGTGGAAAAGCCAGGTGATTCGACGCGTTTGCCGCTCCACGCTGCAAGCCGAGTCTTTGAGCATGCTTGCAGGTTATGAAGATGCAGAGCATTTGAGAATGGTTTTGCATGGTTTGAAAACGCCGCATGACCCAAGAACTACCTCATGGCAGACTGAGTCCAAGGACGCTATAACAGTCCATGCGGTGACCGATTGCAGATCTCTCCGAGATCACCTTGTCCAATGCTCTGGTGGTGAAGTGCAAGACAAGCGTCTTGCCATCGATCTGTGTGGCCTGCGGCAGATCATTTGGCGTGATGTTGGTGAAGAATATGGAGATCCGATGATGAGCGAAAACGTGCCTGAAGGCTCCACTACCAAAGTGAAGTGGTGTGACACGAAAACAATGCTAGCGGACGGTTTGACGAAACATATGGACACAGCTGACTTGAGATCAGCGATGTCCGGTAGCAAAGTTTTCATGCAGTTCACGTTTCATGCCAAAAACAATACGGGTGTGAAAGCCATTCAAGAAACATGTGATCACAGCACTGCCTTGGTTGACACAGCATATGGCATGGAAACGTGAGACAACGAAACGGCAGAAACATGTCTTTTCATTTGCATTTACATGTACAGATTTTCCAATGATCAATCCGCCACGTACCGTGGCTCAAGCATCTGCGAGCAAAAGGTGCAATCCGGCTGCTGCCAGTGTGGGAGTTGTTTCCACAAATCCATAGCTGTGTCAAATTGCCAGATGGTAAACGGAGATCAACGGAGTAAGCATTGGCCGACATCTCCACAGGGATCCCACCACGAAGCGACCAGGGATCTATCCATAAATATCCATAAATGGTAAGGGGAAGCTCCCCACATTTCATTACCTGATTTCAGGTGAATGTTTGACAAAATCCTTGAGCCAGATGAATTTGGGGGATCAACACACCTCAAACATCCCCAGATTTTGGGGATGAAGATCCATTTAGAGGTTTCCTAAGTCATAGAGGTACCCCCAAATCATCCATTTATAGATGGGATTTTCTGAACCATCCAGCTATTGGGGTACCCTCATTCGAAGAAACCTCCATTTGATTGCTGTTTTGGGGGACAGCACCCGTGGCTTTCACCGAAAACCCAGGATGCCCTGCTCAGTGCCCTGCGGCTGCGGTCCTTCTCCTGTGCTCCACCCGATCGGAAGCTATTGATGCTCGGTGATGGAGATGTTTGGCCATAGCTGGGATAGGTCCATGGAAACCGCCAGCTGGGTGCTATGGTTTAAGACATGTCTGGCCAAACAAATGGGGGGATTTGCTGCTAAATCCTACCTGAAAACTATCATACATTATCTATGTTCAAGAATGAACATGATAATTCAGAGAGTGATACCTGGTTCTTTTTGCAAAAGAGGAACTTGTCATGTACCCTGCTTGAAAAAAAAGACGACCAGAGCCCTGCTGTGAGGTCCGACCCAGTGAAGGGGATATTGGACACCTACAAGCAGGCGATGGGGGTGATATGTTTGTTCCAGTGTGTCTAGTTGTTATATTAGTTGTGATTCTTGATTCTTTTGTTTTTTTAATCTTTGTTGCAATTACTCTTTATCATGGTACACTCTGGTAAACATACAACCAACATCAACCAACTATGAAAAAATCTGCATTGTTCATGGGTAAATCAATTATTTCTATGGCCATGTTCAGTAGCAAACTCTTAAATTACCAGAGGGCCAGAGGGTACCCTCTGGTAATTTAACATAGCTATTGAAAATGGCTATAGAAATAGTGAGTTTTTCCGTTTTCCCATTCAAAATGGTGATTTTTCCATAGTTTTTTGTATGTTTACCAGAGGGTAAGTGCCATTAAATCCCATTAAATCCCATTAAATCCCATTAAATCCCATTAAACCACCATTTTCCTATGGTTTTCCTATGGTTGTCTTCATATGCTCCAGCCGTTTAAGGTGGGTCTCAGCTCCAGGCTCTGGCCATGTGCACCAAGATCGAAGGCTTTAGCGCCCTGGCGGCGCGCTCCTCCCTGCGGCTGTACCCTGATGGACGGAAGGGCCGGCCTGGGGCCAGCTGGAGCGGGGTGAAGCTGTTCAGTGTAAGATTGGTTTATGCTAGAGATACGATAGATAGATAGATAGATAGATAGATAGATAGATAGATAGATAGATAGATAGATAGATAGATAGATAGATAGATAGAGAGAGAGAGATAGATAGATAGATAGATAGATAGGTAGATAGATAGAGATAGATAGATAGATAGATAGAGAGATAGAGAGATAGAGAGATAGGTAGAGAGAGAGAGAGATAGATAGATAGATAGATAGATAGATAGATAGATAGATAGATAGATTAGATAGATTAGATAGATTAGATAGATTAGATAGATTAGATAGATTAGATAGATAGATACGATAAGATAAGATAAGATAAGATAAGATAGAAAGATAGATAGATAGATAGAGATCTGGGTGTGTGTACGTGTGTGTGTTTGTGTGTATGTGTGTGTGTAGTGTGTGTACGTGTGTGTACGTGTGTGTATGTGTGTGTAGTGTGTGCATGTGTGTGTATGTGTATGTTTTCATACATATCTTATTTTATATAGACATACATGTAATATCATTTATATATATATGGTCACACACCAAGCACACACACATTTATATATATATATATGTATCATATCCACAGTTTGATGAATGAGAAACAACAAGTACAACTGGGGGCTTACAACTGGGGGCTACCACCTGGTAGATGGGTGGGGAGTTATCGGCAAAAACATGAGGGATGATTGGAGGAAAAAGGCCAAGGTCGGATTTATTTTCTGCAGCCTCATTTGGAAGCCCTTCTGCAAAGAAATCAAACTTCATCGCCCCATACAAGCACAACCCGCGCAAAAAGTAGTTCCATTACCCTGCGAGATTGCCATGCAGGGGCTTTCGATTCAACAAATCGGGAGGAGTACATTTCCCACGGGTCATTTTGTGTTTCTTTGAAGATGAAGCAGATGATGATGATCATCATCACCATCACGATAATTTTTTATCATGATCATGATTACTGTGGTCATTGTATTCTTAATGTTTTTATTGAGATGACACTGGTAATCATGATCATTATACATGTACTGTGAATATACATGTTTTGTTAGGATTACAATCATTATCTTATCCTGGAATCCTTGTTCACCCCCCCAATGAGCCCCTGGTTCAAGCCCCCAATTTTCCAGTCGAGCAGGACACCTGCTGGAAGATTCGGTGGGTTGGCAGACGTCCTCGGAACCCGGACCCATCCGACAGGTTCAGGACGACTTGGAGCAGCTCATGGCTGCTTGGATTGGAAAATCCATGGGAATTGCTGCAGTTTGGGGATTTGGAATGGACGAACCTTGGGACCTTTGGTAATTCAAAACATCTATATATATATATATACCTACATATATATATATATACCTATATATATTATATTATATATCATATATATATATAATATTTAAAAGGCATGTGATGGTTCATGTTTTTGAGAACCATCCGACACACTTGTTTAAAAATATGTTAGATGAAGTATCCAGCTGTTACCTGGCAAGTGGGAAATCTACGTGTTCGATGTAGGATATCCCATTTGGACCTTCCAGCACGGAAGATTGGACATGGCATCCAAAGGCGAAAACTTGGACATTTCATGTCATTTGTGGCCGTGCCTTGTGCATGTTACTCTAAATTAGAATGATCAAAACTATTTAGCACGACTATGTTTTCTCATGTCTTCTCCAAATAATCCATCGAAAAGTCTCAAACCACAATAATCTCATGAAGACTTTCAACCTTGACCCATTCCCGTGAAATGCAGCTGGAATTCAATGACCTTGCCTTTAAGGCCACTGCAGAAAGAGCGCAGGCAGAGATTTGCAAAGTTGGTGGGTTTGTCATTGGATAGACAGCGGATGCCCAATGCAAATGGCACACTGCATGTGTGCATAAAATCTCGCATGTTTGTGGAAATTTTGGCAGTAATTGCTTGGCATTAATTCCATGACATTTTTTTTGCATGAGAAATGCATGGGATGTCATTTCAGTACATGTATATACATTGTTGCAACATTTTGCTCAATGGCGTGGCCGTGACATACCTCCAATACTGTTCAAATCAAATGTCACTACTTACGCAGTCTTTGTTTTCAGATTTCTGTGAGTGACCGGTTCTTGCGTCACAGGCCATGCTCGAAAATTTGATTGCTCCAAAGGACAAAGTATGGAGGCCATCCCCTTTGGGCGGGTTTGGTACCTAAAAGATAACATATTTAAATCTGACTATTGGTTCGGTTTATAAATGGTCCAAACATTCCTCCACTTCAAAACCACCCGTGGTGGGAGGATGAATGATGATTTACCTGCAATTGACGAGAATATTTTTGGGGGGACTGAACATGTCCAACCACATGTCCAACCAGAAATTCCACATGCTGACCCTTCCCTCCTTTGCTTGGAACTTCAACGGGAAGGCCGGGTGAGCAACGGCAGAAACCCAGCGCTGTGCCGATGGCCAGCTTCGCCTATAGCAACGGGGTGAAGAGTATGGAGGCTTTTGGGTGGCTCTCTGCCTTGTTTTCGTGGCTGAACTTGTTAGTTTGATGGCATCTCAACATATTTCCGACAGGAAATTGCCAGAGCGAGCAAAATCGTGGATCATGGTTGGCAAACCGTGGAAAGTGGTTGGTTACATTGGCACAGCCCACTTTACAAGAAGGGGATTGTGACAAAGATGATAGCAGAAAAGTCCTGAATTTGATTAGTAAATGACTGGCCTCTTTGACCCGGCGCAATGTACTTACCGAGTTGGATTACTACGGGACATATCGACCTAGATATGCTTTGCCTTTTACCATGTGCCATCAGTATTTTCGGGCGACCTACAAACCATTGGACTTCAGCAGGACTCTCACGGCTGATTTAGCATCCTTTGGCACTTGGATATCTTGGGACTGATTGGGACTGTGCGGAATACAAGCAAATCTCTTTGCAGTAGCAAGTACTGTAAGTACTGTAATAGTTCATCCATTTTCCAACATGGCTTCATGGGTGCCTGAGAGGCCGCCCGTACGTGACTTGATTGCACTTGGCCAAGATTCCCCATGGATTTTCATGGATTTTCTGTATGAATCATCCTCGATTGTTGAGAGCAAGTGATGTTTCCGAAGCCAATCAAATCATCAAATCATAGCTTCGGAGCCACTGAAAAATCTTTAGCCCGTTCGCCAAGGAAGGCAGTTGTGCGCTATGGCCCTGCCGAGGGGGAGAAGAGGCCCATCAGTGGCAGAAACTCTGGTGAAAATAATCATTGTTTCAGTCGAACCATTAGGAGAGGTCAAGGGGTTAGTTTTCGACTTGCAGCATTGCATGGTTGCTTTCCACTTGCACATTGCATAGGCTAATCCCACTGTCCATTCTGTTCAATTTATGTGTTAGGGGATGTGAAAACACGGCGCGGTGTCGGAGCATTTTGATGCTGCACATGCTTTTTTTTGCACACAGGCGAATGGGTGATGCTGAAGCAAAAATCACATAAAATCACTATCACCCCCCGTATTTCATGGGAAGAACCTTGGAACTTGGAGAAAGCCATGGGTGTTTGTGGAGTTTCCCTTCGTCCCCATGAGAGTCAGCCAGGTTTCGACATGTTCTGGACTTGGCCCGGATTGGCTTGGTCTTCCGCAATTGCCACCCAGCAGACAAGTGGTAATACAGGGCTAAAATATATGGTAATTTGATGGAATTTGTTGATGATTTTTCACATATGAAAATAATTGAAAATACATATGACCATTTTGATGGCTGGAGCGTGGTTAGTTGATTCACTTTTTGTGTGCGAGTTTTCTGGCAGATAAGGTTTGGTTGTTTGATATTGTGGCCAACTGGAGTCTACTAAGTGCCTGGTTGTTTTGGCATTGGTTTCTGAAGGTTTTTTCTTCATATTTGAATGACAAGGGATGACCAGGGGTTTGCCGAGCCATTCCAGCCAGAGTAACATCTGTTTTTCATCAAGCCATCGGGCCTGGACCAGGGATCTCCAGGGTATGTTTAGTGCTGTTTAGTGGTATGTTTATGATCAGTTCAATGGGAATTTCAGGATCCTAAAATGGAGGTACTGTACCATATAAGGCCAAAATTTGTGGGGATATCCCCTTACATAGGCCTTATATAGGCCTTATATGGTACAGTACCTCCATTTTAGGATCCTGAAATTCCCATTGTCAGTATGCCACCACTGGACCACAAGCCGTCACTTTTTGACATACTCCTCTAGTACTGCATGGCCCAAGTGAAAGATGTAATCTTCCATTCTGAATGCTGCATAACCTCGGCTGTAGGCAGCACTTGACAATGCAGCTATCACGTGTACATGGGCGTGACATGTGTGAAATATCACTTAAGTTCATGTTCAAACCGATCTAAGCACAGTCGATTTTGGAATCTCGGATATGGTCCAACATGTATACCCTCTGGTAAACTAACATAACTATGGAAAGATCCACCATGTTCAATGGAAAAATCCACTATTTCTATGGCCATGGCTTCAATAGCTTTTTGTATGTTAGTCATTACCAGAGGGTACCTGGCTGCCCAGTCATCCCCGATTGGGCAAAGTCGGGACGCGAGTTGCGGTGGCTGCCACAAGGGGATTCTCATGCTGTTTGGCTTAAGTTTGGCTCAGATGTCATCAGACGATTCACATGATTGTCGCCTGATTGTCCACAATTAGAATCCAAATTTTGCAGACATTCACCAGTTTAAACCCACATCACATTGTTGCTTCTTGATGCTTAAATCCTCATAATTTGGCATCTGAATTTGCCATAAGAGCCATCAAATCCCATATGGCCAGCATGAAGCCCGAGCCAAAACCCAAAACAAAACGTGTTTCGTTGTACGATGTTCCATTTGGACCTGAGGCGACTTCCTCCAGCATGGCTTGGATTTGATCCTCAGCCAATTTGAGGCCAGAAGTTAGAAGTTGTGCCAGTTGATATCTATCAATTCCCTTCTGGTTATTTAACATAGCCATGGAAAATCACAATTTTTTTAATAGGTAAATCGTAAACCCATCTATAAATGGGCCATCTATACCATGGCTATGTTAGTCATAACCAGAAGGTAACTGTAAATAATGGGATTATAATGGGATAAACCATCTACCAACAGGTGCAGGACTTCTTCATACTTCTTCCACCCACAGTGGAAGACCCAATGCTATAGACCTACCATGGGCATCGTAAAGATAGCACCCATAGTGGTGATGGAATGGGGATGGTTTCTTAAATTGGGCTTTCCACATGACATAGTATTTCAATATATATATATACACACTGTAAATATCTATAACGCGTATAACGCAAATTTGGATCCATGGAACATCATGATCGAAAAGAAAAAACACCTTACTTGATTAAAAATTCGAAATTTAATGTTGATGCTGATGTTGATGTGGATGTCTATGTTGATGTTGGTGTTGGTGTTGATGTTGGTGTTGGTTCTTGAGGGGGTCCGTTTGCATCGCTTGCATCCTCCTCTCTTCTCCCCTTCTCTTCCTGTTCTCGTCTCCTCTTACAGTGTTCTCTTATTCTTCTCCAATCGGTAGAATCTCAATTTATATAGGTCAAATTGTTGGGTTTCAGACACGCTTTCGACAACAAGAGTCGGTATTCCTATGGTATTTGCTTTGATTTAATGTGTGCACCCCGAAATTATACCCCAGATATTCAAAGTCACTGCTTCGATTTTTTCCAGGGGACACCCGATGGGTTCAATACAATATCTGATTGTGTGTGAACAAATCGTACAAAAAGGTCGAACAAAAACATGAAATAAGATCCAGAACAAGCGTTTTGGGCTCAAATCATAGTTTTTATTTGTTCGCACTGCAAGTACTTGCTGGCAGCGATTCATCTTTAATTTTCTTGATGAAAAGCATCAAACCTCCGCGTTGTGGGCCGAATCCAGTATCCATACCTGCGTCAAATTAAACGTTTTAGAAGAACCACGGGAGAACCCTGGAGGGTCATCGATCCCCCATCACCAACCTCCCTTTTGGCTGCGTCAGGTGGTGGACGTGCGGAATTGCTTCAGGAAGAGTCAAGGGGGGTACGTGTTTTTAACGTACGGGGGGAGAAAACCAGTGAGAATCCTTGGGAATTTGATTGATCTGGGGAAAAAAATAATGTATGTTCATCTAATCTATGTTCTTGATTTTCTCTCTATTTCATTCTAATAGTTTCCGTTATTTTCCCATGCTCTCCGGGATGAGAACAGATTCAGATAGTGATCCCTATTGACTTACAGGTGTCCTTCAACCACCACCCAGATATGCATTTCCCAAGGCCCTGGTGTCCTGGCAGTAATCCCACCCCCAAATCTCAAACAACCATGGTGGGATTGACACATAGACCTTTTATAAACCCTGGTTCTCCCTGGTTTATGGGGACCTAGTATCACCCATAGACATCAACCATGGTGTGGTAAGGGCATTGACACATCAATTTTTTTGGGATCCAATGGGGAGAGACGACTTCGAAGTCGGCTCGGTGACATAGGAGTCCACCTCGCTCCGGGGAGCGCTATGTAGAAATCCTATTGATTCTGGAGGCAGCGGCAGCGGTGAGCCTGCAGGAGTCAGAAAAGTTAGGTTTTTGGGTGAAGATCCATGAAAATCCACCATTTTGTCCATGATTTTTAGATGTTCCCATATATTTCTAATCATTTATGTTTAGATTCGGTTCGATGATGTTCCCATTTACAGTACGCCTCCATTTAGTTCGGGTTTTTTCCGTTTGATTGCCAGAGGGTGCTCTTCAGCAATTAGCGCTGTTTCACCAGCATCAACTGGTGATATCATCCATGAATGAACCCGTGAAGCGAAATTGTTGGCTAAGAATGGCTGAGATAAAAGGCCACAAAAAACATCACCACACTACTCTCCCCCAATGCTAAACCTCCCCCCAACAAACACCCGGAGTAGTTTTTATTATTATGGAATGTTTAGTATTTGGGGGAAGGATTAAAAGAACTCGTTGTCAAAATCAATCAAATCTGTTTTAAATTTCATTTAAGATATGGCCAAAAATTGGATTTAATGCTCTCCCAAAATAATAAAATCAAACATTAATTAAGAAAACCCACCTTAACAATCGATTTCAAAAGGTGGACCCTACTATTAACCAGCCGGGGTGGACTAGTTTTATTAAGGGGCTGAATCACGTTTTTGCGTACTCCGGTCTCCTATTGCTTTTTAACTGTCACAAGTGAAAAACGCAATTCAGAAAAACACACAAATTGGGAGCGGTCCCTAGATCCTAGTGATTCCTAGTGTGTATTATTTGGAGGGGCGTGCAGTTTTGGGGCGTTCGGGATTAGCACATCACCACGCCTGAGCAAATTTCCCGGCGGAGGTGGAACAGGAGGAGGCTGGAGGGCCCATTCCCCACGTGTGCGAGATTCGTTTGGAAGAGGTGAATTTCTACAATGCCCGTGCTTTGGCGAACTGGTGAGTACAGGTGCAGTGTGATGATTTTATTGTGGGCATTGGCAGGTACTGGAATACATGTATATGCTGCATGATGCTGCATGTAACGTGGATTATTGTGGATGTAAGATCACACATATATGTCGTTTTACAAACATATTCTATACATCTCTGGATCTCTCTCTGCATTTACATGTGTATATATATTATATATATATATATATTATTATATTATACATATATTACTATAATATCTAATAACTATATATTATATATATATGTATATATAAGAATTAATCCATATATATATAAAATTATATATATATATATACATATTATATGTATCATATTTATGCGTGTGTTCGTGCTTTATCCGCATTCATTACGGCCGGGTGCTCAGGTGTTCGAGCGGAGCTGATCATGCAAGATCTGGTGGAACGGATGCCTGACATGGGATGAATATGGATGAGATTGGCGGGTCTTTGATGGGATGTAATGTGTTTCTATTGGATTTCATTGGGATTTCATTGGGATTTAGTGGCATTTCGTGGGATTGAGTGGAAAATTCATGGAATCTAATGGTATATAACCATGGTTAATAGGAGTAGGGTGTGTTCGAATTTGTGAGATTAAATCCCTCATTTGTGGCCGTTTCAATAGGACAACATGATGAACCCGTGTTCTTAGGGCTATTTTCAGACAAACCGAAGAAATCTGAGACATAGTTTCATGCCCCCACCTGATACTGGCTATGGGTCAAGATCACCCCCTGAAAGGCGATGGTTTTATCACCTGGAATTGGGTGTTTTTTTCCCTCTGAGGATCACCCAGCACTACAGCAACAACAATCCCAGCACGATGAGCTATTTAAGCCGCTGGATCTTGAACTCCCCCAACCAGAGTCACGGTCTTCGCGTACCTGGGATGTTGAGTGGGGCTGCCAATGTTTGGGTCCTAGACTCCTAGACTTCAAAACCCAAAAGAACTGCGGAAAAAATAAGTGCCATTTAAGTGTCATACCAAAGGAAAACACATGAAAACACCTGGTTTGCGGGGGGTTTTGAGGTGAGTGCCACCGGTTTATAGGGATGACTGTGCATTTGTCGGCTATTTGGGTGTGAACTAAAAGGATGCAAGGGGGTTGATCCACAGCCGTGTGGGGCTTACGATTTTTCAACCTCAAACGGCTGGCGGCTGGATGGTTTCAGATGGTTTCAGTACTTACCATCTGGTTATGACTAACATAGCCATGGAAAATCCCTCATAAATGGAGGCTTTAATGGGAAAATCATCTATAAATGGGCCATTTTCCATGGCTATGTTAAATAACCAGAGGGTAACATGAACCGATTTCTGGTCAAGTTGATGCTCAAAACATGTTTACAAATTGTCCTCCAGCGTTGGACGTTGGATGTGCATACGCGCAGCTATGAACTAATTATGTAAGCGTACAATTAGGAGATGATGATTATCTCCGCGCTTTGACCCAGTAGAATGAGGTTTTCAAGAGAGAATAAGAGAACATGATTTGCCAACATCAAATGGCCATAGCTGGGCAGAATTGACATGCATCACATAAACCACATGCACACATGCATGAGGGCCGCATATTCTTGTGAGGCGTCCTTTGTGGATTTGAGAGCGCTTGTCAGCTATCATGTAGCAAAGTCGAAGGCTTCGATATCTAGTTCGGGAGCAAGCACACATACGCTGTGAATATCGGGCTCAAGTCCCTTCTACTTGCCAAGTAGTTGCGTCTCTTTTCCATTCCTTGGGGTGGGTTTAGAGGCCTCTGTGCCGTTTGTAGAGGCGTGTTAGTTCTTGCTTTGATGCGGCAGATGCACTGTTCCTCGTTTGGGCTTGATCGCGTGGCTGGAGGGCACGGGCACAAATTCGGGCTAGTGTGTTTTCTGTGGTGGATGGGACCCCCGACCTGCCTTCATGTACAGACATGTCCTGCTGGCCAATTTTTCTGGAATTCATGTATACAAACGATGTGTCAACGTCCGCCTTCACTTCTCGGGCTTGTGCTAGTGGTGAACGGCCGGGTACCTGTGTGCTAAAGCTACTTTGGGTGGTCATGCAGAGGTGCCATGTTTTGGGCAGATCTGGTCATTTGCGCTATGGCCGCTATGGCTTGTGCATTTGGTTGGTGCCCACAGCATTGGCAGGCTGATCTTGCTAGGTTGCATGTCAGGCGACTGGTGATGCGGCTTCTGTGTTCCAATTCAGTGGTTGCTGCTGCAAACAGCTGCCCCCAGTGCTGGAATTGTGGGTTTGACTGCAGCAAAAAGAAGTATGGCTGGTGCAACGTTGGTGTCGTCAGCCTGCCACGGAAGAGGAGCATGAGATAGTCCGGGTCAAGAATGAGGGCCGCATATCATGTAGCAAAGTCGAAGGCTTCGATATCTAGTTCGGGAGCACACATACGCTGTGAATGTCGGGCTCAAGTCCCTTCTACTTGCCAACTAGTACATTTGTATAAATTATAATATTTATTTTATTTACGGATATTTACAAATCATAGCATGAAGATACAGGTTTTCTTTAGTAACGATTTACATCTATCAGCGTCCATCAACGTTTCCGAAGTTTCGTCCCCTTCCCCCACAAGGTATGTTCACATTAGTGTTCACCAACTTAGCTATCAACAATCAATCCCATGAAATCCCCGTATTTAAGTCAGCATTAAGTCAGCAGCATTAAGTCAGCCTTTTCCGATTGTTTCCTATATCTTTCCCTGGTTTCCTATGGGGCTTCCATGGGCTTCCCCACCTTTCCCCCATGGATTTCCGCAAAAATCCCATCCCAGGTGTGGCAGAAGCACTTGGCCAAGCGTTTTGGCTCGGCAGTGAGCTGCTGGCGGCAGAAGTTCGGCATGACGCGCCTGGTGAACTTCGCCAAGTTCCGGGACGTGTGCTGCAACTGGGACCGGTCAAAAAAAAGACTTGTCGAACTTCAAGGGAAGTTAGATGGTTGCTGGTTGATGGTGCCCCCTAGCAGCAAGTTGGTTTATGATGGTTTATGACTTTATGATACTTTATGACTAGGTATGACTTTATGACTAGGTTAGGTTTATGACTAGGTGTATGGTATGGTTTATGGATGTTTATGGTATATATATAATATAGTTAATTGATGTTAATTGGGTATATAACGCAACCATCAACTTCACCTATGAAACTAACATTCCATTGTGGAAAACTTTGATCATTTTCTGGGGGACCATGGAAGGGAGCTAGTGATAGACATGATGGGGGAATACCCAGAAAAAATGGATGGGAATGATGGATTTCCCTTATATATATATAACTACCTCCTTTTTGTGGAGTGATGGTTGAAATCCCACCCATACACATGGTAAAATTGGGGATGGTGGATCCTTTTGTTTACCACCGTTATATGATATCGATATGCAATGAGGTCCAAGATGCTTGCTGTAGCCAGTGGGGTTTCATATAATGTTCGGGTGATTTAACAGTGGGTGCGGGTTGGGAAGCAGGCATATGAATTGGTACGTGATGAGTTGGTAATTGGTGGTCTCAAATCTTTGAACATCATATAAAGAACCATGTAGAAACAGGCGGATAGAGCATGATAGAACCATGGATTACGCTCCTGCTTGCAACATGTCTTGATAGACCCCTGTAGAAACAACAATATTGGGACTATGACTATTGCTGGTTACTGGCTGGGCCACCAATCAAATGGGGCGTTTACCTCGGTTTTTTCGATCAACATGCCTGAATTGGATAGATATACATGCGTCATTTGAATCATTTATTTTTGAAACTTGTTTGCCAAACTCTGCCAATAATGGTGATGGCAAAGGGTAAAAATAAGTCCATTGATGGCTTCAAAAAAGGTGTGAATTTGTCTACTTTAAATTTCAGACAGATGATGGCTGCCAGGGCTGGGCGTCGTGCGCTGGGACCCAGGTAAAGAGACGAAGTCCGGTCCACATGCCACCGAATATTGGCAGGCGGGTGTCACCGCGACAATCACGAGAGGTGTCACGGAAGAACGGTATGTTCTATGTATTCGTGTTTATTCTTTTTTATTTCATCAAATGTATTCTATTTCTATTCTATTTCTATTCATTTCTGATTCCATTTTATCAAAACAAATGAGAAGTGTCATCAGCTCATATCACTTCTATCCTGCGGATTTGTGAATCGCCAGGAACTGGACATTGGGCGAGGAGGATCGATCTCTTTGTTCGAATTGGATGCACAGATGGTTTGTCCTTCAGCCGCACCACCGCGATGTGACTAGGAAATCCACCAGACCTGGCGGTTTTTTGGGAGAGAAATGTGGGTAAAACAACAAGAAACCACCCATTTGGGAATGGTTTAGAATGGTTTCTACATCTTTATACCACCTATAAAAATGGTGATGACTGGGGCATGGTTGATTATTGTTTTACCCACATTACATGGTATACATGGGAGATGTTCTATTGCCATGTTTAATTGTCAGAGGGAAACCAACTTCATCACTTGCAGAGCTATGGGCAAAACTGCACTGAACAAGACTGTAATTTTCAAAGCTGGAGGGTGCTTTTAAGGGAGGTTATTCAGTCCTTTGCATTTGGGTGATACGAATTTACGATTCGTTGGTCCTTGGCATGTCATGTTCACATAATGTGGCATCAAGCAGCACGTTGTACGTGAATTGTTTTGATCTGTCTCCATTGCAGCGGTGTTCTGACTGTAATGTCCCAAGATGTCCCAAGGTATGCTTGCCGTTTTCAGAGCCAGGTGCGGAAAGGAGATGAAGATTGGACGGTTGATGTCAGTCCTATCACCTTTTTGATGAGGTTTCCGGTTTCGTGGTAGCTGATTTGCCCATACCGCCCATACCATCCGCAGGCTTTTGAAGCTAGCTGGTACGACTGACCCTTCGCCAGAGGAGCGTTTTTGGGGCGGATGTGGATGAGGGTCTCAACCATGTTCATAGATCCAATCATGATTGTGTGGACAAAAACACCCCCGGTCTATTCAGAAGTAATCCAACATTTAAGGGCCATGATCCAATGACCTTACAAGTGATGTTTGTAGGATTGGTATGGATTTGTCTCGTAGCTGGTTGAAGACAGTTCTTCATGTTGGATGAGTTTGATCCAAGTGTCTACTACGGGATTACCAAACAAAGAGGGAGCCTGACAAATAAAATTCATTGAAATCTGGATTCAACCAACATCAAGTAACTGGGGATTTAATATGTTTGAACATTGAACATGTATTCGCATGGTTTAATGGCGGACCAGCACTTTTGGACATTTTGAACATTCTAAGCGTAAAATGAACACCTTATTAGAATGTGACTTTCGTTGTTCATACTTTCGCTGTCAGAAACCTATGCACTGTGAGAGAGTGTGCATGCTCAGATGTACTGTGACTGCTCATACCCACGCCCACACACCAAATATTTGCTTATTGAAGCCATTTGCGTGCTGTTTTTATCTCATTCGGTGATATTCTGTGTTGCATTGCTTTTACAATGCAACACTACAAAACAAGGCTGAAGTACAGGATGTTTTCATTGCCTATGGTAGAAGAACTCGATTGCTTTTAGAAGCAAAGCAAACCTAGTTCTCTTAACACGTCCACAGTGTTTTGTTTGCGTTGATGCTATCTCATATCTCAGTGTTACGATGATTCTCGGCAAAATACTGTGCAGCAACAAAATACTAATGTTAAACACTTAGAGCATTTTGGAACAGCTAATGAATGTATGAAACACATTCACATATATTGTAAGTTCATGTAAATTCTTTGTTTTACATACCATATGCTACGTTTCTATACCGGTACACTCCAAGTAATTACGGGAATTGTTCCAACAGCAAGATGTTTTTCACATTCCCAAGTGTAAGGGCTTGTCTCAAGTTTTTCACGCTATTGGCAGTTAGAACGGTCATCTTCGAATCTTCAAAGTGCTAGAACCTCTACTTTCAGCACCCAGAGAATGTTGATCCAATATCAATTTATCACAATATGTATATATATATAATTATATATGTATATATATATTCTATCTATCTATCTATAAATATATATCACATATATCACTCCAGGACCCATCACCGGACCCCGACAAAGGCCCGCGGCGGTCAGGAGCTTTGGCATCGCCTGAGTCTCTGCGTCAACGGCGCGCTGCAACGAGAGGACCGGATGATCATCAGCGATGCTCGGCCTCGGCCACGTCCTGGACCTGGAGGTTTAGTGATCTTAAGCAACAAGTTGAAGTTGAATGGAATGATTAGTGAAATAATCTTATATAATTCAAGATGATGCAATTTCCAAGAATAGTGAAATATCATGAAGTATATTGAAGTTTAAGTAAGTTTAAGGGAAAAAACGCGGATGTACCGAACAGAAATCATGGATTTACATAGCCAAGACATGAAAATTCTGATTAATGAAGCAACCAACATGAGGATTTATCAGGATTTTGCCAGCTACACATGTTTTTTGTAGCTATCTTTTGCTCGTAATTGCACTCCCGTAATCTAACCTAGCAATGGGATATCCCATGATATACCAATTGTTTCAAAAGGCATCTGCAAAATTGATGATTCCCATTGCCACATGCGATTCTCGAGGAGTACATCAATGTAGTGTGGCCAACCCAAAGCCGGTTTATTTTCATACCCCTTTAAATGGATAGAATGGGTGGTGAATTGCGGACGGTGTACAGCATACTTTATTGCAATTCAATGGGGCACACACATGTTGGAACTCACATGTTGGCCGAGGTGTGGCTTTGTTTATGTGGATGGTTGAAGTTCAACAGTCAAGGGACCATAATCCCAAGGGCATCCAACAGCTAAATCGAAGAGAATAAAATCACCAGCTTCGAGAAGTAAAAACTCTTTATATAAATATATGTGATTCAATATATATATATATACATATTGATATATTACTCCATAAATTGGACCAACATATGAATTGCAATGATATGAATTATACAACTCACCAAGTTTCCATGTATAACTCACCAAGTTTCCAGATATGATAGTTTGTACAATAATAAGTTCTATAATGTTATACAGTAAAATCACCAAGTGATCCAAGTGTCCATATGTTTTTTCCCTTCGACCTGGTGATTGCCTAAGGAGTTCAGCGTGGCGTTGACACGCGCCCTGGGTTTCAGCGCAGGCGAAGCCAGGCTGATCTTTGACGCTTTAGACTTGGAAGGACGGGGACCGGGAGAAGCTGGTGAGGGCGGAGATGGTCATTTTTCATGGAGATTCATCCCTAGATGGTGAAAAAGCATACCCATATCGATTTGGGATATTATTGGGCTATGATTTATGGCGATTTATGGCGTCTTAATGGGTAAATGTTCTATAATTAGATAATCCTATCATTATCTGGATGAAGTTGATCATGACCTCACGTCGCAAGTTTCAGCTAGTTTTAGGTTAATGTGATTTAGTGTGATACCCTCTGGTGAACAAACATAGCAAGTGAAAATGGCCATTTATAGTGGATTTTCCCATTAAAAATGGTGATTTTCCATTGCCATGTTAGTTCACCAGAGGGTAATTATAATTCAGCCAGATGGAGATGATTTGAAGGAACCGGAAATGGTTCAAAAAATGGGCATATTGGACACCTGGAACATGGTGATATGGATGGGCTGATGGGGTTGAATAGGGTGGGGGGTTGAATAGGATATGTTCATTTGGTTTTATGGGATATAGAACTGCTTATGGCTTTTGTTGGGATAGAACCACCATTTACCTGCCAACAAATGCGAAATCATGAGAACACCGTATTATTTTTGTTCGGTGATTTCAGCATTTTTCAACCAACCAGAATATGGATGGAGATGGGGTATTTAACCGACTCATACTAACTCACACTTGGATTCTTGGATTTAGAGCAAATAAAGAGGATACTATTTTCACCAACCACCAAGACACGCAAAGTACCCATAAAAATGGACAACAGTACTAAATGACAGGGTAAAATACAAATAGAATACAGTTTCTTGCGGGTTAATGGGATATGTAGGACAGGAAAAGAAATGGGGTATTCAACCAGCCAAAGCTGGGATTCCATCCAAATTGGGATTTATCCTCTGGTAATTTAACGTAGCTATTGAAAATGGCCATTAATAGTGGATTTTCCCATTAAAAATGGTGATTTTCCATAGCTATGTTAGTTTACCAGAGGGTAAACATAATATCGAAGCAACAAAAAGTGAAGCTTTCTTCAGCGCGCGTAAATGAATGGGATCGGCATTCTATGGCCGTTTGAAATGGGATGGAATGGGGCAGCGCAGTTTCAGAGAAGCTGAAGTTGAGATTGCCATTTCTTTTGGCACGCAGATGGCAAAGGAAATTCATCATTGTCTTAATCAAAAATTGAGTAGCCAAAGCATCTACCTTGGTCCCTTGATGATCCTTGATTAAGTTTTCCATGGATTAAAACTTATGTTTCCTGATGGTAGAGGTACACCACCAAAAATAAAATAGGTCACACGGCTGCGTGCAGATATTGTTGATCCTCCCATTTTGTCACTGCGAAATGCGTGAAAACCATCATTTGTTTTACGAGTGCAAATTTCCCGTCATGTCCAAATGTATCATCACTATTTTTCCCATTGAAAATTCCTTGAATGAAACCTCCAAAAAGAAGTAACAAGTCAAACTGTACTGTAAATTTACCCGTTTCTGGATTCTAAAACCTCATCAACATAGAAATCAGGTAAAAATCAAAAAAATGAAATCTCAAATCATGTCAAATTCATGATTTTTCTTACTGGATGTCCCCGCAAAAAATATGGCTCAAAATGGCTCAAATCTTCCTGTAGACGTCATCTCCCGTGTTGATTAATATCAAATATGTTTCTTGGTAAGACCACTGTTGTATCATTTTTCTTGATGATTGAATCCTGCCAAGTCGAGGTGTAATGAATCATCCCAAGACAGTACTTTTGTTTTTGCTGTGATCTTCACATTGATTGGCAGGTAAAACATGGTAAATCCACTGCTCAAAATCATATCTTCATGTTGAATATGCGTTTAAATCATTCCTTTGACCCCAAACCCGCCACCAGAATCTTTGAAATCCAACTTTTCAACTTCATCCAATCTATCGTCCATTTGTATAGGCCAAACATATTCCAAAAATAGGTTCTATCTCCGGCAGATGGTTGGCCATATGGCTATCTCCATCTCCAGGAGGTCAGACCTGCAACCCTCCGGGCCACGTGCGCAAGCTGGACATCGCCTGGCTCAGCAAGCTGCCTCTGCTGGTCGACTTGGACGCCGTGGCCCTGCGGCCGGGCGGCTTCCATGCGGTACCTTGGACGCCTTGGACGGTCTGGAGCAGGGGTTTGGGTTCGAAAAGCCCTGGCTTCTGAGGTTTTGATTTCGGAAAACATGGTGACAAATGGAACATACGGTGATTTCAGAGAAAAAAAGGCTGATAGCACTGGAACATGGTGGATTGAAAGGGAAAAAATTGGTGAACACTGGACCACACCATTGTCCATGTCTGGACATGGCGATGGAGAGAGACAAATGGAACATGGTGCTTTTCAGAGGAAAAATGGTTGCAAAAACGGTGACATGAACAAATGGAACATGGTGATTTCAAAGGATTTCAAAGGGAACAATGGTTGGAAAAATGGTTGAACAATGGTTGGGATGACTTTGGGATGACTTAGGGATGACTTTCACTTCTACCTGTATCGATAAATTGGAGGGAAAGTAGAGCAACATGGGGCAAGAAGGTGAACAGAGGTGGAACAAATGCCAAAAAATCATAGGTGAAAGTCTGTGAAACTGAGGCTTTGGATATCTGACATTTTGGGCATTTAGATACCCAGCATTGCCGCTGAGCCGTTGGCCCTCCTAAGGACACGCCCAACTTGAGCTCCAAGGCTTTGGCCATGAGCAGCGGCTTTGGCCGGGCATCTCCGGGCTCACCAACTTCGCCTGATTCGGGTGATAGCGACAGTGGCTCGACAGCTTCAACAAGTTTGCTGCACACTGAGGGTTCGGCGACAAGCCGCTCTAAAAATAAAAAATTACTTTACTTCGTGTGATCCCCACCATGACATTTATACATTTTCTTACTGGCAAATCTTCTGGCATTCTATCTGACATATCTTCTGACATTCCATTTGACATTCTATCTGGCATATCTTCTGGCATATGATCTGGCATATCTTCTATCTTCTGGCATATCTTCTGGCATTCTATCTGGCTTCTGGCACCTTCTGGCAATATCTGGCTATCTATCTTCTGGCATATCTATCTGGCACTCTATCTGACATATCTTCTGGCATTCTATCTGGCATATCTTCTGGCATATATTCTGACATATCTTCTGGCATTCTATCTGACATATCTTCTGGCATATATTCTGACATATCTTCTGGCATATCTTCTGGCATATCTTCTGGCATATCTTCTGACATATCTATCTGGCATATCTTCTGGCATATTTTCTGGCATTCTATCTGGCAAAATTCTATCTGGCATTCTATCTGGCATATCTTCTGGCATATTATCTGGCATTCTATCTGGCATATCTTCTGGCATATCTTCTGGCATATCTTCTGACATTCTTTCTGACATTCTTTCTAACTTTCTTCTGCACATTCTTTGTCCCATATCTTCCTCTTCCGGCCACATGAGGTCCGGCAGGGAACACTGGGCGCGGATGGTCGTGGTTGAGGTCCGGCAGGGAACACTGGGCGCGGATGGTCGTGGTTGAGGTCCGGCAGGGAACACTGGGCGTGGATGGTCGTGGTTGAGGTCCGGCAGGGAACACTGGGCGTGGATGGTCGTGGTTGAGGTCCGGCAGGGAACACTGGGCGTGGATGGTCGTGGTTGAGGTCCGGCAGAGAACACTGTGGATCGCGGGTCTCAGTTGAGCAAGGACGACGAGGACGACGAGGACGACGAGGAGGACGAGGAGGACGAGGAGGAGGAGGAGAAGAGGAGCAGGAGGAGGAGGAGAAGGAGGAGAAGGAGGAGGAGGAGGAGGCAACTGACATAAAATCTAACAACCCTCACCTGGCAGGTGGGGAATAAAACATTGACAGTCTAGAACCAGTTAACTTTTAAGTGGGTAAACGAAAACACATATTTATATAAATATGTAGGGGTGAAAGAATGCATGCGTTAGGGAGTCAGTCTCACTTGTTGAGATGGCGATGGGGGGAGGGAGAGAGAGAGAGAGAGAGAGAGAATGGGTAGACGATGGTAAATGGAATGTCTAGGCACATGTAATTACACAATATGCATTGCACAAGGTCACAGCAAACAACACGTTGCAACATCTGGAACCTCTCAACTACGGTCAGGAGCTGCGTGTTGGCTTTTGGCCGGCCTGAGATTTCAAAGTACCAAGATGCTGGTGTCTGTTGCGAGTTTACACGCGTGAAATGCAGACGTCTAGGATAAAGATGGCAAACTTTGGCAAACACTGAAGTTTTTAGAGAAAATGACCTCCTCTTTTTTTTAACGCGTGACTTCAAGATGTAATTCCCAGCAGTTGATGCCTTGAGTTTTTCCATATTGATAGGTAATTGTCAAGCCCCGATGATTCACCTTTCTTGGTGGCTCGACTTGTGGAAGCCTATGACTTTTTGGGCCTGGAAATTTTGCCGGTCGGCTCGCTCAAAAACCTATTTTTCTGGGTCATACACCAGGAAAAATCATGCCCAGCCAAAAAATATCTATATTTTGCTCCCAAGAATAGGGTGCCCTAAAATCCCATTCATCATGATTTTCGCCATTAAAACGGCAAAATTGTGATATCCCCCATCTTCAGACAGGCCAATCTCCTACAGTTGTTGATTAGAAACAACCATTCAATGCCAGTTTTAACATGTTTTAACCCCGTTACAAAAATACCAATTATTAGATCCCAATGAAATCCCAAAAGAACCCTGGACCTTACCCAGTGAGGGTCGGTGGCCAAGGTCAGGGCAGTGCTCATGAAGAAGTCGCCCTCACCACCCCAGTGACACCCCCGACCCCCGCCACCCCCGCGACCCCAGCGACCCCAGCCACACCCGAACCACTGGTGCCGAGAGAAAGGACCAACACCGTGGAAGAAGTGCAGCTTGAAAGCAATTGGATTCGATGGGAAGATGGGCAATGGAAAAATGATGAAAAAATGGGATGTGGAAATGTAGCCACCAGATACCAACAGCAAAAAGAGTTTTAAAAAAAATGTATACTGTAGAATTATGGGATGATAATCAACAACTACCACTCAAAATCAATCGAAAGATTGGTCGAGCTGAACAGCCACATGTGAGGTTCCACGGGTTTCTGGAGCATACTGGAGCTTACAAGGGATCAATGTTTGACTTGAGGAGTGAAGAGCATGATGCTACCGTGCATTCAGCTTGGCATGGAAGGGCATGGTTCTATCCCAAATGCTCATGTCAGCTCGTCAAATTAGCAGGCACATTCAAGAAACACATGTTCTGTTGCCGTTTTTGGGGTAAAACGGCCGGCGTAGATGCATCTCTAGCTAAATTCGAATAAGTTGACCCAGGTTTTTGGATTGATTTTCCAGCTCCATTGACCTCACTCATCCTGGAATTGTTTAAGGCATGGGTGTGGCCTACTTCATCCATTCTTTTCTTAGAGGCCAACATCTAGAGGTTTTCCCTGGGCTCAAAGATGACGGACAGATACTTAAAAGATCTTAAAAGTTGTTTAAAGCGTTTCATTCCAAACCCAACCATATACGCGAGTTTTTTTAGTTTTTGTTTAAAGGATTGCACACGTTAAAACTTCCAAATGGCCAAGTTTGAGTTCGCCAAATGGGTGTCCTGGCATTACCCCAAGCTACCGAGGAAGAAGGGAGTCTCCTCCGAAGTTATTCCCGAATCTCCCCAGGCCAGAACCGCTGTGATGGATGAGCGCTCTGGAATACCAGTTACACACATAGATATGTGCATGTATATGCAGAAATATTTGTATTTATGTATATATATATATATTAAACATAGATAGACTAGATAGATAGATAAGATAAGACAAGATTAGATTAGATTAGATAGATACACACACATCATATATATATATATTATTGTTAGACCCCTGGGAAAGTCTGCAACTTCAGATGAAGCCTTCCAAAACCTCCACCAAAACATGGGTCTCGAAGATGCTTGTCCCATCAAACCAGGAAATTTGTATGCCAGTTTCAGCTGGTTAGTAGCTGGTTAATCGCCGTGCACAACTTTCTATCAAGATGGAATGGCGACACTCAAACACAGTAGGTGACTTGCATTGAATATTGAGGGACATACCTTCAGAAGTGAGTCTTGAGCTGTTGCAAAACACTTCGAAGATCTTCGAAGCGTTTCAGAAACAGCTCCAGGGTAGTGGTCAAAGTGCTAAACAACTTTGCTGGGCATTGTATTCTGGTATTCTGCATGTGGGTTCCCCCACGCCTCAAAACAGGGAAGGACCATAAGATAAGGCGACCAGCAGTGACTTCGTTGTTGATGTTGCAGTTCAGTCTCAAATCTGTAGTAACGCGACATGAATGGTTGGCAGTGCAGTGGCCGCTAGTTGCAGTGGCCGGGTGCATCTCCAGCCAGTTAACTGTGATGATCACCAGCTATCCATCGATATCCCAAGATGATCCCCATCCTGCATCCCAATTGGAACCGTTTACGACCTGAGCCATGGATTGGAGGGATTTCTTGGGAGCCATGGTATCATCCTAGAAATGTTTGGGCGTTCCCAGGCCGAGCTTCCCTCAACGTCTTCCAAGCAGGACCTGGCCAAGTGTCGAGAGGGGGATATTGTAGTTGTCCCAAGGGTTGTGACTTGTCACGTTGATGCAGTGTGGATTGCAGGTCGAAGCAATTCACACAACACCTGGTTTAACCGTATGAATATGCGTCGGTGCATGATACCGTGGATCATTGTTATGACATGTTATGACCATGTTGCTGGGCAAGACCTGAATCACATGATATAGCTGTGCTTGCCCCAGAAACGAACCGTTGTGACTTGACACTCGGATAGGGAGCTGAGTCCTATGGGATGTTATGGGTGCATATGTAATATGGGTGCCTTTTTTCCCCCAGAGACCGGACTTACATGTGAGGTTGTGCACTTGATCCGGCCTTCGTTTCGAGCTCCGTTTGTTTAGTCTTGACTGGTTCCCTGCAGCGTTTATCCTCGTCCAACTCGTTTCATGCATCGGACGAAGCATTTGGCAGAATTCTTGGATATCGCAATAGCATCAATAGCCATATCATGCCAATATCCAAAAGATGTATCAAAAGTAATTATATCATATCATAGATAATCTCTTTTTATTGTCAGTATGGACAACAATTCAACCACCCATATTTTGATGGTTTGTATACCCATTTAT